TCGGTTTATGTTTCATTGCTCAAACTTTTCTTTTGATGATTATATGGCCTCATCGACCTAGTATCTATTTTTCAAAGTTTCAGCCTTACTGAGCTGGTTACGCAATTGTGGGCACCGTTTAAGGGAAACAACCGTTTAAAGGAAAATATGGACACAATTGTAGAGGCACATGGAATCATTTAATGGCGACTGGTTTAGCACAAAAAGCTAGCCATAAATATAATATATGGACTTTTGAAAAATAGAATTATGTATTATTACTTCTGTTTTTATCATAATATATTCATTTTTGAGATTTTTGAGATTACATTTAAATGTTCAACTTGTTCTACCGATTTACTTCTGTATTTTGATTGAGATATTTGTTTTGTGGCGAATTCAAGTTATCCTATGAGATAAGTCGACTCGTCTCATGAGATAACTCGAAATATTAAGAATAACTTCTGTCAAGACCTGACCTCTATTGTCATTCCTTTTGTCTTTCCATTCGATATATGATATATTGTTGCTTCTTTTTTTGTTTACTTATAACAAGAAATAAAACAGTCAGTTAAGATACTGTAAACATTGAACTCACTTGCCTTAAAATTATCCACACTTTGGTGGTACAGTATCTTACAACTTCCTCAAACATATGAAGCTACTTGTCTCATAGGACAAGTCGAGTTATCTCATAGAATAAGTCGAAATACTAGTTGAGCGAGTCAAAATATTTCAGTTAAAAGAAGCGACTTACCCTATAGGATAAGTCGACTTGTCCTATGAGATAACTCGACTCTTGTGACTGAACTACTTTTCTACTTTTTTTCCAGTATTTCGAATTATCCTATGAGACAAGTCGACTTACCCTATACGATAAGTCAAGATACTAAGTGAACAAGTATTAATGTTTCAATTAAGAATAGTGACTAATCCTGTAGGATAAGTCGACTTGTCTCATAGGATAACTCGAATTCTTTGCAAAATAGAATGTCTCGATGCCAAGCTACGTCTAGTTAAATTTATAAAAAATTCTGTACTAGTTTAATTTTTTTTTCAATTATTGACATATTTTTAAGAGTAATTTAATACAACCAGATGTGTTCCAATTCATGTCACCAATCAGATTTATCATGTGTGCCTCTATAATGGTGTCCATATTTTCCCTTAGACGGTTGTTTCCCTTAAACGGTGCCCACACGCAATAGATATATATCGATTGTTGAATTTCAGCTACTAGCGACATCTATAACTCGGCGATAAAGCAGCATCTAGAGTTCGGGTGTGCTATATTTTGTAGAGCAACTCAATTTGTATCTATCCTGAAATTTTTATCATTCTATGTCATCTCAATGAAAAATGACACACTTCTCAGTAGACATGGGGTAGATCAAAATCATCAGATGAAGGAAATGGCCTAAAATTAAAAATTGAATTTCTGAGTGAGGATTTGAGCTATTGAAATGCGCTTAGTGGCAAAAAACTCACTAAGTGGTACCCTTTTGAACTATGTATGTGAAATTGAAATTCGAAAAAATCGATTGAGCAGCCTCTATAGAAAAAGGTCGTGGCTTAAAGTGATATGGCTCTTATTTAACTTATTTTGAGCCTTCGAATATAATTCATCGACCAATTATGGTCGAATGTTTTTTGACACGTGTAGGTTTTTTTAACAAATAACGCTCTTAGAACGTGAAATAGTTTTACATTTTTATATGCCACTGACTGCCGGATCGAATACCAGGTACGGTTTAATTTTGCACCCGACCCGAAATTTTTTTTCGTACCTGCCACCCGACTCGGCCCCCAGTACCAGATCAGTTGGGGTGCCGAGTTCCCGACCTGGCTGCAGGACACTATCAATAATGTGGATAAAGATAAAAAATGAAGTCTTATGATGTCGTTTAAAGGTTCCCCCCCCCCCCTTCCGGGGTTTTTTGAGAACGACGCATCAGAAAAATTTGAAATTTTTAAGGCAGATAGATCTTGATGAGTACAGCAAAAGTTGTCATAGACTCAAAATTCTCTGATGCTGTCTTCTATGAGGTAATAGGGTCACAATGTCGAAAAATGGCCCTAGTTTTCGCCCCCGTTTCTCCAAGATGGTATGTTCGATTGAGCTGAAAATTTTTTTACGAGTAGTAGACACTTTTTGGGGTGCATATTTTTTTTTTAGTTTCTTTTTATCTTTTGTTGTTTCAATAAAAAAAAGTCAATATACTGTGCCTACCCTAAAAAACGCTTGTTTTTATTCCTCTAGCAAATTTTGTCAAAGCTGCCAAAAATCACCAGAGCAATAATTCTTGAAAAGAAAAAAAAATACTCACCCCAAATGGTGAGTAGAATACGTAAAAAAGGTTTCAGTTCGATCTCTCTTACCATGCCGGAGGAATGGAGACGAAACAGTACTTTTCCTACTAAAAATTTAATTTTGAGAAAAAAGCAAAAAAAATATAAAATCTTAGCTATGGTCACTATGTAAATTTAATTTCTCCTCGAATTTTCTTAATCTTTAAAGGCAATTGTTGGGTTCCAAAATATAGTCAGTAGATAGACAGTACTTGAAACTATACAATAGCCACAAAAAACCAAAAATGAAAAAAACAAAAATTTTGGGCGAGGAAAGGGGGATACTCTTAATGGCCTTTTTCTACCACACGATTTTTAGAGCGATCAAATTGCCATACTCCAGGCATATGACATCTGGTGAATTAGGCCACACCATTGGCATATTCGAGAGGCTAATACTCGATTTATAAAGCTATTTTATCAGTGGCTCTTCTGGACCTGCTATGGGTGGTGAAGGGTTAAGTTTGCACTTCAGAAATATAACTAGCTTTGGTTTTTCGAGATTTTTTTCAATTGCTGTAAAAGCTCACTTTTATTGAAACTCTTGCCAGAATCAGTCTTTTCTCAATTAATAAGTGGCTGCTGTCTTTGAATTTGCTACTGTCGCACAGAAAACTGGCTCGATATATAGATTTTTCAGAATGTTCTGAGAGCTCTTATTTTTCTTCAAAAATCTTCTTCTAACTTCCCTCAGAGTTAGTTAAATAAGTGAATTCGCTCGAAAGATCGCTGTTAGTTAATACTCATTTTTGTTATTGGAATATGGGGTGTGGGTGTCGAGTGTGTGTATATGTAGATATAGAATGTGGGTGGATGCGGCTGTAAATACAAAGACGACCATACCAGCACCCTATTCTATTTAAGTGTATTAACTTTTTTTTGTAAATCATAGGTAGATACATCTACTTTTTATTTATACGAGTAAATTTCAAAAGTACTCTTCGATGTTATCATCTTGAACTGAAATATAAAAAGATTTAGCCCTTTTAGTATATTTAAAAATAATCATTACATGATTATTTTTTAACTGTTTCATTCATTTTCTTGGATATTATTCACAAACTCATTCTTTGAATTGATTGGCAAATATCGCTGCCATATCTAGACTCAAAATGATCGGTATGACACTTCGAAATTGCAGTACACTGCAAAACTTATTGTATAATGTATAGTGTCAAACAAACTGCATGTTGAATCCTTTGTTTTTTGATGACGCAACGATTGGTTAACAAAATCACTTTGACATGCTTCAAAGCTTCTTTTATCTGGTTTGATAGAAAAAAAGAGCTATTGAAAAGTGCTTTTTGTATCAACATATGGCATTATCACATTGCTTCAAGACAGTGCGCTGCTGTCTGACTGAATTTTTTATGATTAATGGGTTAGAAGAGATGCATCGATCTTATGCGTTGTACAATCATTATACCTCATATCATTTGTTTTCATTTTTTATGAAAATATGTGTAAAAAAAACTGTCTACAAATCGATTATTACAGATCTGAACAATTTTAAGATCAGGATCATTCAATAAATCGGACGAATTAAAACTGAATCGTTGCAGAATACCTTTCTACCTATAAAAAAGGCTAATTTTTTTCCCGTAATTAATAGCTCGGTATATGAACCTATCATAGAAAGAGTTAGCTGATAAAATGTAATCAAATGGTAAAGATGCATTGAAAAACTTTTGAGATATTCTGTAAAGTAAGAGTTTCTCGGTAAAAAAACGTTTTTTTTTTGTTGAATTGGACTTTTCCAGATAATGTCGATATTTGAGAGATTATGATGATACAAAATCAAGCAGAAAATAAGGTCTTTCTAAATTAAAAAAATTGTATGTCCATCTGGTCTAAAGAAAAATGCCCACTACACTGGACCCAGTTGTATTCAAGGTCAACACAACGAATTCTACTCTGCACCTGATTTCTGGATATAGGCAAGGTAGAAGCAGAATCCACACTTTTCCATTGTGAGATATCTTTTATAGTCATGTAAAAGTTGTGTCCTATGTCATGTTGTTGCGACTTATATGTTTTAAGTTCATGCGTAGAGTATTGAGTAATGACTACTTTAATATTTGCTGTTATAATTTGCATAGTATAGTCAGTTGAAAGAATTAATCAACCGTGAAGAGGAAGGATATTAAAAGTCATGAGGGTCGTACAAGATGTTTAGAGCTTATCGATACTACTAGAATATGATATTGCATTATTCACTAGTACATGTATTACTAAGTGCGAAATCAGAACCAAAAATTTTTTCTAGCTAAGATTGGGACAACAATTCTAATCATTTGAAACCAATCGAGAATGGTTAAATAGTTTATGATCAATCTTCCTCTTTTTATAAATATATAATGTTCGAATTATAGCAAATAAAAAACAAAAAAAAAACAGAAAATATGCATACACATGAGAATTGATTATAATCATTCAGAACAAAACAAAAAAAGAGCATATTTTTCTATGTGTCAGAAGATCGAATATACTTATTATCTGATGCATAAAAGATATACTCTTTTTCTTTCTTTTTATAAATAAAGATACTAGATGCTAAGAAAACAACATCACTATTTGTCAAATGTTTTTTTTTCTTTTCGCTTTATATAGATATTGTCTATGGAATAAAAATAAAAATAAATAAATGAAATAAAGAAAGAAAAAAAGACAAATTATTTTAGTGATGTTTTTATTTCTTCCATAAGATTGGAAAGAAAATGTGTTTCTGTCGATTTACCATCTACTAAAATATCACTTTGAGAATTCTAAATGAACAAAAATTATTTAGTATTAATTTTAATAAAAATCTTAAAATAGACATACTATAGATTTAAATAGAAGAGCGATTGGTTGTCCAAGAACTGTTTCAGCATATAAAGATGCAGCCGAATGAATTTTTTCGACAACTAAATTAAAAATTTGAATATAAAAAAATTTAAATTTATTTCCTAACCATTTAATCGATATGATTGACAAATTTTATTTATTATCGATAGAAAATCTTGATTAGATGATGGAATACGAACTTGTGATTGACATATCAATGCACCAGAACTCATCAAATCAGCAAATGCATTACTTTAAAAAATAAATATTAAATAATCTAATAACAAAACACTGTTCTTACGAATCAATAATCTTGCGTCGTAAATATTGTGAACAAGGTAAATTAAGTTTAAATTCAATTCTATCTGTTTCAATTGTATTCGATTTCTAAATATATTTATTGAAAATAAAGATAAAAAGTCGTTTTATTTTCTATTTTTTCAACATACATTTATAGAATAAGTTAATGTTGTTTTTAGTTTTTGAGAAAATGATATAGCATTTATTGTAAAATAAATATGAATATAATTTTGTGAATGAGGAAAAAGACTTATAGATGGAAATGATATTGAATTTCCACTCGTTGTATTTAATAATTTCGAACTCATACTATCAATAATATGAATATTAATATGATCAATAATAAATGATGTTCGATTTTTTAAAAGAAATGTTACATCAAGCTGAGCTATTGATGGATTCGGATTGATTGAATATTCCTAAAAATAAATAATATGTCAAGACTTTATAGTAGATAGTTTTAAATACATATTCGGATGATTTCAGTAGACATCAAGACTGAAGCCTCAGCCGTTTCCGTCTTTATTCCATTAACTTGACGAAGGTCGAAAATAGGAAAATATTGAAAATAGTGATGCCTTCAAGATGAATGTGAGGTACGCACGGGCAAAGTTGACTTCTTTTGAAATTATATCGGAGTCGCTACCTCCATGATTAAAAAGTAATTCTAAATCACTCATGTAGACCATTAGATTGAAGATATTTTATACTAAACAATGTTCGAATCATACTCCTTTGCTGTTAACAAATCATTAATTTTAACTGTTGGTTAAAAGATAAATAAAGAAGCTCATGTCTTGTTTCAAAATATTTTTGATTCCAAATTGTTTGCTTGTAAGAATTAGAATCATCCATCCCTATTGTGAGTGTAGGTGAAGAAAATACTAAAAACTACACCCACACTCAAGCTTGGATACTTTCATCGAGAGCTTCATTTGTGAAAATTTTTAAGTCGAAACTCGAAAATTAATTTTACAAATGTTTGGAGGAGACTACAGCATTTTGCTGAAAAACTCAACAAAATAGACATTATGCAAGAAAAAAAAATCCGTGAATATGATTCCATACAGAGTTTCCATAATAACTAGAGGATTTACTGAATGACATAAGACCATATCTACAGCATTTTATGGCTTACCGAAGTCTCCTCAAGCTTTCTATATCTATTGTTAGACTAAGATAATTATCGAACTTACAATTGTCAAATTGTCAGATTCAGCAGCTAGTTTATAAGCATCTTGTTCATTGTATTGTTGCTCAGATTGATTTGTTGGATGTATATCATCACTCATAATGTCCAATAGTAGTGTTGCAGAAGTACTTGTATCTACTGTTGTTGTTGTTGTTGTTTCTGATAATGATTTTTTTTCTTTAGTTTTCTTTTTCTTTGACTTCTCTGCAACAGTAGGAGGAGGTGTAGAAGTTGGACGACTTTCTTCCTCATCAACTGCTGATAATAATTCTTTATAATCTTTACGTTCTCGTTTGTGTTTAGATTTTGATGTTGATGCCTGATCTTGTTGTTCAATTGTTTTCTTTTTCTTGGATTTTTTTGGCTTTTCAGTTAATACAGGAGATGTTTCAACTTGTTGAGGAGCTGGTTCTTCTACTTGAGATGTCAATGGTGATGTAGAAATCGCTTGCATAGGTTTTTCATTTAAGTCAATATTAAGTGCTCGATGTGGATCATATTTTTTATTTTTTCGAACAATTACATGATGATCATTGTCTTCATTTCCACTTTCTGTAGCACCTTCTGGTAATTCACCACCACGTGTTACTTTAACAGTTGGATAAATATCATCATCATTATCATCAATTGCTGTTGTATCGGATTTTTTTGATGATTTTTTTCCTTTTTTTGATGATTCACTATCAGTTTTTGATTTTTTCTTTAAACGTCGATTTTCTTCATCAATTTTTGCTTGGCGATATAGTTGATCAGATAATGTTAATTGTAAACTAGTAGCATGAGCTCCTTGTGATAATGGTGATTCAGTACGATCATTACCATTTACAGTATCAGAAGTTGTTTCTTTCTAAAATATTTAAAAAAAATTAAGGATGGAGTTAGACTAGTCAACGATAAATGAACTATTATAGCTGAAAAACTACTTTTCATCTGTGAACGAAAATCAAACGACAAAAAATATAATGTTGCTGGTTGTTTGGTGAAAAGTGAACTCTATTGCTTCCAAGTTAACTTCTTAAATTCTGACGAAGAAAGTCATACAACTGATCAATAGCTTGTCAATCAAGACTAGGTGTATTATATAACATCAAATAAGGTAAGTCTACACTGAAAACAGTGTAGAATCTTAGCTTATTGTTGTCGAAATACTTCACTTTTACAGTTGTCTTTTAATCAATGCTGTAGCTTCTGTCAAGAGTATCAGGAAAACTAGTTTTCGAACTTCAACTAGAAACTTTGCATAGAATAAATCTTAATGAGTCTAGTTTCTTGCGAATGTTTCAGATCTTGTTATTGTTTCTATCTTAAGATAAAGCTATGGGAAAAACTTGTCTTTAATATCATTTATTTCTAACGACAGATTCAACGTTCTTATGTCAAGAGAGAAACAAATAAAAAAACATAAAGAGACAACGTTATTCATTTAAAAACTACAGTAAATTTCCAGTGTCTCTGTATCCATAAGCTAAAAACTCATTTTTGTCAATATGATGCGCATAACTCCAACTCAAAAGTGATCAATTAGTCGAGCCACTTTCCTTGTAAGATTTCTAAATCGAAATTCTTACTCATACCTTTTGTGTTAATTTTGATTTTTTCGAATCCTTCAAATAGAATGGATTCATTTGTTCGCTTTGTTTTCTTGATTCTCGTTGTTTTTCTAATTCTTCAGCAGTTGGTTCAATATATTTTTTTGATTTCTGATAACCTAATGTGTCACCATAATATGAATTCGAATTATAATTATCTCCATTATCACCATAAAATAAACCTTTATTATCATAACGTGAACTTGTTGTCACTGATTCATCTTCACTCTCTGATGGAGGATCATTTATCCATGCATCCAAATCCAAACTAGAACATAATCAAAGTAAAATAAAAATTATTGAATCAAGTTTTATTTTACCCATTGGGTACAGCAACTTTTCTTTGAGCTTTTGCAGCAACTGGATTAAGAACACCATCAAACAATGCTGATAATTCATTAACATTAAATTCAGATTTTCCAATTAATTTAAATGTTGTTTTAAGAATATGTAAAACAACACTTGCCTAAATAAACATTCTTTTTTATTTGATATTTAAAATAAAAAGAAAAATGCTTACTCGTTCTTGTGCTTCGACATCACCACTCGATAAAAATAAAGACATTTTATCAATTGTTGATGAAAGAAGTTGTTGAGTTAATGTTTCATCATTATTCGATGATTGAATTAAATATGTTATAATTTTTAAAATATTTTGATAATAAACAGATTGAATATGTCCAGGAAATAGTGTAATTTTTGTATTAAGCATTGATTCAAGAGTTTTTTGTGGTTCTTTTAAATGACTATAATAAAGAAAAAATCAAATTTTTTTTTCTTTTGCTTTTGTTATTTACTTACGAACAAAATTCACCACAGATCCATGCAGCAGCATATAAAACTTCGGCGACAGTTGTAGAATTTGAACCATGAATAAAAACATGAGCATTTTCAAGAAGAATTGCCTAAAAAAAAACAAAAGTTTAAATTAATAAATTTTTTTTATTTTTATTTTTCAAACTTTCTACCATTTGATTACAAGCAAATGAACGAATAGATTCAACACGAACAGCAACATCAAGCATTTGTAAAGATATGAGATTACCATGTTTTGTACCTTCAAGACGAGTTAATTCAACCAATATACTAATATACCTATTTTAATAAATAATTTGTTTTTTGTTTTATTAATAAAAATTAAAGAAATAAATGCAAACCATTCAAAATTAGTTATATGTTGATAATCATTTTGACTACATATTTCAATTATTTTTGAAAGTAATTCATCTCGATAATGTGATCCTTCAGATTTATCCATATGAACCATTAATTTATGTACAATATCCATTAGAGTTTTTCTTGCTACCTGAACAACAAGAATTCATGATCAAAATTTGATTAATTATCAGATAATTATTCATTTTCTTACCATTCCAGAAAGAAGATCAAGTGCACGTAAACGAATCGATTCATCTTTATCATCAAGACAATGCATTATTAAATCACTATGTGCTTGGACACTTTTTGGATGTGTTTGTAAGATTTTAGACATAGCAAGTAAACCAAGATATTTTACTAAAAAAATAATTCAAAAACATTTTGTTTTTATATAATTAATTTTTATTTATATCAATACAATTTTGATCGGAATCTTCAATAAGTATTCGAAGTTTTTGTACACATAATTGAATTGAAGCATTATGATTTGGTAAACCCGATGAAAGAGAAACAAGAACTTTAAAAAAAAAATGTATTCAATTAAAAATTTTTCTATTGATTTCATTTACCAGCAATCACAGTATTAATACATTCATACAAAAGAGACATGGCTGAAGTACTATGAATTAAATTTGTTAATGGTTCTATTAATTTTTTGCCTAAACGAGGTTCTAATGGTGTTAAAGCACCAAACTAAAACAAAACAAAAAACTCATTCGAAAATTAAAGGAACAAAAAAAAAAGAATTAAACAAGTTTCCTTTACCAGTTTAATAATTTTAATAAGCACCCAATTGTTAGTTGATGTTGTCATAAGACGAAAAAAAATTGGAGCTAAAGCAAGATAATTTTTTGGATTACGTCTAGCTAATTCACAAATAACATTCACAGCAGCTGCTTGTACACCTGAAAATAAAACGATAAAATTCTTGTTTTTGTTTTTATTTTATCAATTTACCTGGATCAGTATCTTCAAGTTTTTCTTTTAAACGTGGAAAAGCTGGTTTAAGAGCATCAGGATTATTAAGAAATACTTTATATAAAAGTAGAACAGCTCGTTTACGAATATAGGGCTTTGTTGATGTCATCTAAAGAATTAATTTAGATAAATTAATAAAGAATACAAATTTATTTCTTACAAGCGTCATTATATCATTAGCTAAATCATGTGCAAGATCACCATTTATAAAGCATGAAAGACCACTCATAGCAATACCTGCTTCATACATTGATGGACTATTTAGATCCTTAAATATTTATTGTATTAAATATGATGATAAAAACAGAAAAATAAAATCAACCTTTCGAATCATATTTGTTGTTAACATTAAAACATCTGTTCCATCATGAAAACACTGTGAAGCAGCTAGATAACCAATTCGCTAAAACAAAAAAAATTATGTATAGAAATTTTTTAATTCGAATCTTTGACTATGGAACTATTTTATTAGTAATTTGTACTTTAATCGAAAGGAAAATGTCGAAAAAAAAAACTGGAATAATAAAAGAAAAATTAGTGTAAAAGATATTGAATTAAGATATCATTATCACAAGATTAATGTCGGACTATGTTCATATAAACCTATCATCGATCATTCAGTGCAATAAAATAGATAAGAATAAAGACTAATATTGTTCAATGATTGATTATTTAAGAGATAAATTATAAAGATGTCAATCACTACAGCATCACCGAGTACTATGAGCAGAAATTTTGATTTCATCACTTCAAAGAACGGTTAATTGCTTTTGAGTAATGAATGAATGCATACATCAAGGTAACAAAAAATAGCAGATATACATATTTATGATTGTTACATATACGTCCGTACTCAAATCAATAATAATTATTTGGCTAGTAGTAAAATCAACCATGAGTATTCAGAAAACTCTGAATCTATTCAAATTAAACGAAACTCATAAAAAAGTGCCAATAAAAACCTCCATAAATTCATTGGTGGTAGTAGCTATATTTTTCAAAGTGCATGAAATAGAGAAATTCTTTAACAAGTATTAATTAATAAATAATGCTAAGTATTGTTTGATGAGGTGATCCTCACTTCATTTATACCCTCAAGCTATGCCGACGTGTTTACTTCAGATTTCAACATTTGTTTTTTACCGATCAAATTACAAATAATCATTTTATTTTCATAATATGAGTAGGTTTGAGTAGCTCTTCTAAAATACTATATTAAGCTTTGAAGTTCTTTTCTTAGAAAAATCATAGAAAGATATGCTAAACTTTCCTATGATCTGAATATATATGGTTGTTCACTGAATAGCAAGATTTTAGTATACTTCTAAGAGAAGATTTAGATTCGACTACGTTGTTTAACAATAAATTTTCGTAATTTAAAAAAAAAAACAATCTTTCTATTTCTGTCAATAAAGAATAAAATCCTTTTCAAGTAATCATTAAGCGAATATCAACAATTAGAATGAGTGTCTTGTGTGTATATCGTTTCTAGAAGACTGAACATATAATTCACAAAAATTGTGCACAAATGCAAAGATCTTTGAATGAATTCATTTTTTTCTCACTTTCAAAATTTTCCATTAATTTCATGCTGATAAACTGTTCTGAAGTTTATTCATAATAATTGCCCTATGCACATGAGAATTAAGCATAAAAACTGACCGATGAAAACAAAAAGAAAACTGGATTAATTACATTGTAAATATATTATTTTGTCTTTTTTTCATGAGTTTAAAAATAAATAAAAAAATGATTGATAACAAAAATATAAAGAAATAAAAATTACTATCAGATTCTCAAAGATAATGATTTTCAACACTTACGAGGGAAGGCCACCAACTGTTCCATCGCTTTTGCGTTATGTAGTTCCCAAAGAGTTATGAATACCCTGAAAATATTTTGGGTTGATAGCTTATTGTAATGAAAATAGTCCATTTGTAAGGTATGGGTTTTATTGAGTGCCTGGGGTCCCCTTCAGAAACATTAAAAAAATTGATTTTCGAATTTCGACTTGAAACTTTACATAGAAAGACGCCCCAAGGAGAACAACTTTTTATGAACGTTTCAGATCTTTCTAGTGTTCTTATCACTAGACACTGCTATTGTGAAATTTGTATTTTATATCCTTCAAATAAAATAGCAGATTTAGTGAAACAAACAATCAAAAGGCTTAAAACTTTCAGAAAACACTATTCTTGTTGAGAAGTATTTCTATGTAAAGTTTCAAGTCGAAATTCGAAAATCAATTTTTTTAACGTTCCTGAGGGGGACCACAGCAATCATCAAAAACATACTTTACAAATGGACTATTTTCGTTACAATAAGCTATCAGCCCAAAATATTTTCAGCGTATTCATAACTCTTTGGGAACTACATAACACAAATAGTTTCAACGCAAAAGCGATGGAACAGTTGGTGGCCTTCCCTCGTTAGAACACGAATATATAACTTTTCTATACTATTCACAATGATAGACCAATTGATTCTCTACAGTGCTTTTTTTTAAATAGTTGATCGTAACTTTGAGAATCTGATAATTATTTTTATTGCCTTATATTCTTGTTGAGTAATTTTTTTACTTACTATATATGATTTAAATGAGTGATTAAGCTGTCTGTCAAGGTCTAATTTTAAATATATGTATGTGTTTGCTTTCATTCTCATGAAAATCATATAGAACCTCAGAGATCTTATCGAAATCATTAGTACAAACGAATTAAAACTGAACTATTTTATCCTATATTTGTGTTATTCAATATAAATATTAAAATCTAGCAGCAAAATTTATAATCACTAAACTTAGCATAAGCAGACTTCTTATAATAACAAACAAAACAAAATTAAATTAATGATTAAATTTTATAGTAATATAATCTTTACTTTTTGAAAATCAATTTTCTTACTTTAAAAGTAAATTTATTCGAACTCATTACTTCAATTATATTAAATGAACTCCATGATATATCATAACCGAGCATTTGAAGCTATAAAAAAAAAAACAAATGAAAAATAATTAAATAATATAAAATAAAGAATTAATTTTCATACATAAATTAATTTATTCACAGCATTTGCTTTAACTGCTATATTATCTTGTTTAAGTTCTTGTTTAATTTCATCAAGAGCTTCATTAATATATTTTGTCTTTAAAAGTAAAAAAAAATTAATATTTTGTAAATGACAAATTTGGTTTTTTTTTTTGTTTTTGAAAATTATACTTCATTATCTTTATGATTTCGAATACCACGAACAAGATCATGTAAACTTTTATCAAACATTTGTCCAAAACTATCTTTAGCTCGTTTAACAACTTGATCCATCGTTGTCGACATAGTTTTTCTTTTTGTACAAGTAAAATTAAACTAATCATTAATACACAGCCATTTATCTTTATCATTAACCTTTCTCTTTTTTTTCAATAGATGTCCTAGTACCTCTTGTTTTCGATTGCTTCTTCCTCTTTCCAGTCGACAATATGACAAGTTTTTATAACGTGTATTAACTAACTTTAAAAAAAAAGACGATCTTAAACTTCATTTTAATCATGGATAAAGATATAAAACATTCAGAAACGCATCATCACCATCATCATCATGTTCATCATAAAGTAAAATCTCTATTAAATTCTCCAACAGTGAAATTATTAGTTTGTTTTCTTGGAATATTTGTTGCTTATCTTTTATTTGGTATTGTTCAAGAATCTATGTAAGATATCAATTTTTTATATGTAAGTGATTTTTAAAATAGATTTTTCTATTTCATAGTGTTAAAGGAACATATGGACAACATGATAAATTTACATATATAGTATCATTAGTCTTTTTTCAATGTATTTTTAATGCAATTGTATCAAAACTAATACTTATTTTACGAAAAACTCATCAAGATACAACACCATCAAAAATGTATGCACTTTCATCATTTACGTATTTATTTGCTATGCTTGCAAGTAATTATGCTTTAGAATTTGTTAGTTATCCAATGCAGGTTAGAATATTTAAAACAAACTATTAATTTTGTTTTTCTATTGTATAAATTTTTTTTCATTTTAAGGTTCTTGGAAAATCAATTAAACCTGTACCAGTTATGCTTTTGGGTGTATTAGTTGCAAGAAAACGATATCCATTAATAAAATATTTTTATGTTTTATTAATTGTTCTTGGTAAAAGAGTTTCTTTTTTGTTTTTGTTTTAATTAATAATTAAATTGTTTTAAATATTTTAGGTGTTGTTTTATTTATGTATAAGAAACCAAAAGAAACAAAAGTTATTGATACCGGTGATTTAATAGGTATTGGAGAATTTCTTTTGGTAAGTTGTCAAATGAATTAATGATCAATTTTATTGAGTTATTTCATTCGTTAATGAAATGATTTCATAGAATAAAAATGTGTTTATCTTTAAATATCCTGGAACAAATGATGAAGAAACATGTTGAAATATCAAATTGCTTTTGAAAAGAATTTGAATTAGTAGCTTATTATTGCTGAGATACTGGTTATTTTAGAACAATATTACAATTCTTCTCAGAAAAACAAAAGTTTGCATAGAGACAGATCTTAATAACAATAGTTTATTGTAAAAAAAGTTTCAGATGTTTTGATTGCTTCTATTCTAAGATAAGGCTATGGTAAAAGAATGTTTTTTTTTTCCATACCGCTCGTATACAATGGCCAATTTCGATATTCTCATTTCTGGATAGACACAATTGAAAACTTTTACAGTAAGCTATTCTTCTTAAGGCCTATTTCAGTGCAAAATTTCAAGTCGAAATCATATTTTACGAAGAAGACCGTAATATATTGCTAAAAAATACAGTAATCTTGACAGGAATAAGCTATTAGTCCGAATTCTTCTTAGAGTATTCCTAGCTTATTTTGGACAATATATGATGTACATAGTCTTAATTCAAAAGTGATTTGATACCTTGAGATGAGTTAGTCCATAGGAGAAAAAAGTTAAAATGTTCTGTAGGGTTAAACGAATTATCTTAGAAATCATGTCAATCAGAACATAATTCAAGAGAGATGACCCAAAAATAGTACTAGTCATCCATTGAACAAATCAGTATTGAAGAATTTTTAGATATGATAAAAATAAAGTTTGAAATAGTTTTCTTTAAATAGGGCATACAAAAGACATATATTTCCATTGCATGCATTATCCATAAAAACTATTGAAAAATTAAACTGAATTTATTCTTTGTTAGCAAGATAACAGAGAATGAATAACGAACTAAAAAGATTCTCTTGTAATCGGATGAAAATTTTTAAATCCTTTAATCTGATCTTTCAACATAGATTTATGATAAAAGAACTTGTACAGATAACTCTTTCAAAAAATTATAATCAAATAAAAGATAGTCTTCTTTTTTTCATTTTGCTTAAAATGGCTCAGGATATTGATATAGGAAAAATGCTCACATATATCAACATTGTTTTCTGTCTGTTTATGTGAGATTTACGCGTACTGAGTTCTTAAGAATAGAATATGATATTCATAAAAATTTTTGCAATGAATTTGAAATTTGATTATCATTGATATTTTTCTAATTTAGTTTGTTTCACTGGTATTTGATGGTTTAACTGGTGGTATACAAGATAAAATTCGTGATAAACAGAAAGTTCAAGCTTATCATATGATGTTTTCAATGAATATCTGGTCATGTTTATGGGCATCTATTGGCATATTAATCACAGGTGAAATGTATGGTTTATATACTTTTCTCAAAGTTTATCCTCATGTCATTTTCAAAATGTTTTTACTTGGTTTAACTGGTGCCATTGGTCAAGTAAGTAAATTAAATAAATTTTATATTTTTCTTTTAAAACAAAAAAAAAAAAATAGAAAACTCAAAATATGAAAATTTAATTTTAGAATTTTATCTTTCTTACTATTGAATGGTTTGGTCCATTGACATGTTCAATATTTACAACAACAAGAAAATTTTTCACTATACTTTGTTCTATACTTATCTTTGGTAATCCAATAACACAACAACAAATGTTTGGAACAGCATTAGTTTTTGTTGGTTTGTTTTTAGAACAATTTTATGGAAAGAAAAAACATAAATAGAGATCTAAACTTCATTTTAAAGTGCGTTATTAATGTTGCTTCTTATAGGATAATAACCGAATAAAAATCAGCAAATATATGTTAAAAATAGATTATTTTTTCTTCAGTGTATCTTTATGCGTTATGAATGATTAAAACAGAAGAAAACATTCATGTAAAACTCGAATAATTAACTAACGGGTGGGCCGAAAGTTTGGAGAAGATAAAATATTTATTCATTTTTCATCAGTTAGAAGTTATTCTAGATGAATGGAAAAAGATGGGTAGGGATCAGAATTTAATGCTCTTTCCGGATATGAGTTCAGAAGTTCTGTGTCTATTTTTTTTTTGAAAGCAGTGACACAATCGTTGAGTTGCGTAAAAAATTAGTTTGATGTACAAAAATTTTTTTTTTTAATATTTTAATATTTTTACTGTTCTGATTCGAAACTCAACGTTGAAACTTTCGTTCATGTATGAGATTGTAGAGTGCGTTCGGTTTCATTTCATTATCTTACATAATATCTAAAATTTTGTTTTCTTATTACCTTCGTTTTTGAAAAAATTAATAACTATATTAGAATTCGATATCATATGTTGTAGAGAACTGTCTGCTCTTCAAAACTATCATATTCAACCATTTTTAGTATTTTTTTCATAAAACTCACGTGAGAAACAAATGCCTATGTATTCGTCAAGCAATTCAATTATTCGGCATGTTCAAAGATTGTCTCACTACGTTCGTACAAAAATAAATACAAAATTTCTGACTCCATATTCGGAAAGAGCACACGATTCTGGGTCGCACCCCTAATTTTTTCATTCGTTTAAAATCCTTTGAAGCGGGTCAAAAATATGCAAATATTTTGTCTCAAAACTTTCAGCTCACCTATTATTCGAATGGTCGCGTACTCGAGTATCGGAACATTAGATTAGTTTAATATGGAAATATTCGATTAGCTGAATATTAAAATATTCAACTAATTGAATATTCGAATATTCAAATATTCGAGTAATTGAATATTCACGATCCAAATTTGACATATATGTACAAAACAAATAGCAGTATGTGTGAGTGCGGTGGAAGATGAACACAGAGGAAAGCACACAAAACCCAAAATACCAAGCGTGAGTGTCACGAAATACAGACACACGAGAAAGAACAGATAAGTCATCGCTTTCTCTTTGCTACACGACGAAAAAATAAATAAGTCATACGCAGACAGATTGAGAACGTCAAAAGCGCAATAGATAAGTTGAAAAGTTGAAGAATACTTGAATAGTTGTTACGAGCTAACGACTTCTATACTATTGAAAGAAAAGATTAAGATATGTTGGTGTGAGCATGAACAAAAAGAAATAAATAGACATGTTTGAATGTGATAACGAACGTACATTAAAAAAGAATAGATACAGACCATCTGTCATAATTCTATTCGTCGATTTTGAACTTAACAAAATCATTATAAATTAGTTGTTGTTAATGACAACTATGAATTTTAAAAATATGCATGAAAAATTTTTAAAGGTTCTATTTAAGATCAAATGATAAGAATAATGTACGTTTGTACTTCATTGAGTTCTTTTCTTTTAATAATGCTATTTTGATCACTGTAACAATAGGTTCCGAAAAATGCAACATGAATTCGATATCGAATACGAATAAAATCAAATCAGAAAAATATCTTTTTCAATTAGAAGATAAAAGAAGTGGAAAAAATAATTTTAGTTGACGTGTTGATAATCATATCACCATCTGATGAAATATCGCACACCTCTTGATATAATGGTTCTTTTTTTATGCTACAACAATATCTGGTCATACCCATGTAATGATAACGATTGTCTATGCTTGTGTGTTCTCTTGTGCATGTATGTTCTTATTCTGCCTTTTATCCTTTGTTCTATGTATTTTTTTTCTCTTACTCATACTCTTTCTCTTTTCTATATAAACCTGTGCGGTATGTGAAGTCGTTACATTCTGACGATATGACATAGCTCAATAAGTATTAAATGCATCGAAATTGATGATAAATGGCTTCTTCAATTTGTCGTTACAGTTAAGTAGAAAAAGAAACCTTATTAATTATTATTTGTACACATAATTTATTACGATTATTGAATTATTGTTTGTAATAGTGAAGAATTTTTTTAATATATTTGAAATACTTATTCTTTATCTAAGGAATTGTTTTTAAAATTAATATCTAAGATAAAATAATTAATTCATATAATATTATATTACTATTTAATTTTAGTATTTAAAAACAAACAATAATCTGCAACTATTCTTATAAATATTATCAATAAAAGATAATTAGAGAATATTTTCTATGACGATCAATTTTTTTTTTATTTTTGTAGAAATATTCGATTAAATACATCATCTAGAGAAATATTTAAAATAAATCAAGAAAACTAATTTAGAATGCTAATTATTTAAAAATTTCAATGTTCTTTTGATTATATACCGTTGTAACTTTATACATAAGCAAGATTACTACATAAAATATATTAAAATATGTTTCTTTTTTTTGCTATTGATGATTGTAAAAATCTTCCAACTAGTAAAACAGCTACTTTTATTGCTGAGTCACATTCAATTCTTGTTGAAAATTTAAGTAATCTAATATCACATCAAAGATCAAAACATTTTTATTATTTTCTAGTATGATGATTATACTAGCTGTCATTACACGCTAGAAAGAATTTGAATTGTGTTTAGAGTAGATTAAATTGTCTTGAACAAGAATATAAGAAAATAAAAATGATTATCAGATTTACAAAAAATAGGATCTCTAGAAAATCAAACCTCTAATTCATGTTTTAAGACTATTTACAATTATGAAGCAACTCATTGTCTACAAAAAGAGACGTCTCTGAAGTCGCTACGACATTTTTTAACTGTGATATAGCAATATTTATAAAGTCAATTTTGTCTCACTATTTTCTTTTGAGCTTACAATCAAATTACTATATATCAGCTGAAAAATGTCTTCCAAAACTTGAAGACGTCTCAGTTTGTAGAGAATTGTTTGTTCTATCATTATAGGTAGTTATTAAAAATTATATTCATACATTCTAGATCCTGAAAAACTAAGATTATGATTTTCCAAAAGATCCTATCTTTGAAAATCTGATAATAATTATTCTTTCCGTCTATTCTTATTGAAAACAATTTTCTCCGCTCGAATCACTATTTAGGTTTGTAGCGCTTAAGACAGAGGAAGAAATTACAAAATAACCTTAGTGAATAATTTAGGGTATTCAATTCATTTTTTTTTTCTAGCGATACATAACATGTATTAGTATTGTTTCATAAAATACGTCGTTTCAGCATGTTTACTTAGATGTTTTTCAAAATAAATACAAAGATTACATACTTCATCTTTGCACTCTCAAGTGCTTTTGTTAGTTATATAATCAGTGATTCATTTTTTGCTTCTACCTTATAAGGAAATTTTCTCAATGTTCGATGTTCTGTCCTTCTAGAATTATGATTAAATTAGTAAATTTTCAACTGAAGAAAAAATATCTGACAGAAGATAGAATGCTGTACAATTTATCTGAAATCTTACTCATGATATATGTAACTTTCAGATCAATCTAATATAAGTGAGACTTATTGATAAGCTAGAATTTCCGATAAGACTTGCAAAATTCAACATCTCGCTCAATAGGTTACTTGAGATCGAAAAATTGAATAAAATAGTTATGATTCACAAAGAGAAAAGCATAGACACTTTCCTTTTTCTTGTATGTAGACAAACTATATACCAGATCAATTCGCGACAGTTAAACATGTTGATTCGTTTCGTTTAATCTTAATAGAAAATCTTTTATAATGAATAACGTATTGAATTACTTTACGAACTATGACTTTCGATATGAATTTTGTTTTCTAAAGACTGATGATATGCAATATCTTCGATTTGAAATTCTCCTATACCTGAATTCGAATTGTATCTAGCAAAATATTCATTTTCATTCATCCGAAGTTATTCTAACAAATGTCTAAATAAATTAATGAGAACCATTATATAACCGAAGTCAATATCTTTTATAACCTATTATAACCTTTTCTTTACATCAATAACCTCTCTCTTAAAGGTGTGTCTCAACCAAAAAAAAGGAATCATATCAAACTCTTTATAATTAAACCAAGAAATGTACCTTTGAAGCTTTCAATTTGTTAAACAAATTCTTTGTTTGATGAGTGTCTATTAAAAGTAAATAAATGACACTTTAGCATAAGTCAATGATTATTCTTTTTTTCTTCCTACGTTCTATCGTTTCGTTCTGTGCCTGCTTTTTTTAGATACCTAACTTTCTAAATGCAAGTCGACTTGTTAGAGGATGTGTCATACGTCGAAATAAAAGAAAGGCAAACGCTCGTGTCTAATATATATTTATATATTAAGTGCGAAGTACGATCTTTTTTTTTCTTCGTTTCTTTCTTTCGTTCGATTATTTTTAAACAAGGCCACGAGAAAGCAGTGACTGCTTTATTATTATTTTTTGCTTCGTGATAGGTGTAGCAAGTACTTTTCGTTCTAGATTTAAATATCGTTTAATTTAAATTATGTCGAAATCAACAACTAAATCATCAACAACTAAAGTGCCATTGACAGATAAAGATCGACGTAAACAAATATCTATTCGTGGCTTACCATTGCTTGAAAATGTAGCATCTGTTAAAAAAACATTTAATCGTCATTTACATTTTACTGTTGTTAAAGATCGTAATGTAGCTACAAATCGTGATTATTTTTTATCAGCAGCTTATACTGTACGTGATCATCTTGTTGGTCGATGGATTCGTACTCAACAACATTATTATGATAATGATCCAAAACGTGTTTATTATTTATCATTAGAATATTATATGGGACGATCATTATCAAATATGATGATTAATCTTGGAATTGAATCGGAATTAGATGAAGCTTTATATGAAGTATAAAAAATTGTATTTCATTTTTGTTTCTTATAATTGTAATTTATTTAGCTTGGTTTATCAATTGAAGAATTAGAAGAATTTGAAGAAGATGCTGGATTAGGTAATGGTGGTCTTGGTCGACTTGCTGCTTGTTTTCTTGATTCTATGGCTACACTTGGAATAGCTGGTTACGGTTATGGATTACGGTAGAGAATTATTTTTTTTTCTTTTTTTATGTATCAAATGTCTTGTACGTTAATTTAATTTGATTAGTTATGAATTTGGTATATTTCAACAAACAATTAAAGATGGTTTTCAATGTGAAGAACCTGATGATTGGTAATAAGATTTTTAGAAAAAAATTTATTTTTGTTTAAAATTATATTTAGGTTACGTTATGGAAATCCATGGGAAATTCCTCGACCAGAATATCAAATTCCAGTTAATCTTTATGGTCGTGTTATTGAACAAGATGGAAAACCAAAATGGGTTGATACAAAGGTTTTTAATTGAAATTTGATACAAAAAAAATAAATTTTATTTTATTATATTTATCTTTAGGTTATTATGGCTATGCCTTATGATACTCCAGTTCCAGGTTTCAATAACAATGTTAGTAATAGCATGAAGAAAAGAAAAAAGAAATCCCTTATTTTGATATTCTAGGTCGTTAATACACTTCGATTATGGAGTGCAAAAGCAGCACAAAAATTTAATTTTCAATTTTGTTCGTTATTCTATTTTTGGTCATTCTTTGTCGTTTATTTTCTTTCTGTTTCTTTTTTTTGTTTAGTCAATGACGGAGATTACCTTAATGCAGTCAGCGAGCAAAGTTTAGCTGAAAATGTTACACGTGTACTCTATCCAAATGATAATGTAAAATTTCAATACTTATTTTGTGTAGGATTACTAAAATGAAAATTTTTTTGTAATATTTAGTATCAACAAGGCAAAGAACTTCGTCTTAAACAAGAATATTTTCTTGTTGCTGCTACTCTATCAGATATAATTCGACGATATAAACATTCGAAATTTGGAGTTTCTTCAACAACTCGAGATGATTTTAGTACTTTTTCAGATAAGGTAAGAATCAATTTCAAAGGTCATTTGTAAGGTTTCGAAATGAGGCATTTAATCTGCTTCAAAAACACCTTTCGAGTGGATTTTATTAGAAGAGATTGATGGGTTAGGCAAGTGTACACTTTTGTTAGACTGCTCAGTCTGAACTGTAGTTCTTTTTTTCTAAGGAAAGTTTATGCGTCTTGTAATTGATAACAACCAGAGAATATTTACTGTGCAGGTGGTTCGGAAGTTATATTTAAACAAGAAATAGAACAGTATTTTTTTCTCCACAGTTGAATATTGGTTTTCATTTACCTACACGATTAATTGTTGAATTAGTCGTATTAAAAAAAAATTTGATTGTGTTTAGTATTTTTTCTGTCATTAGAGTATTTAATTTTTAAACAGTTAAACTTTATAAATCGATGACAATTATGATGATTGGTATCTTATCTCGAAGTATAACATATGTGTCGAAAGTTGGTCTAGTGTTATATTCACCAGTTGTAGAGACGAATAGTTCGAAGAAAATAGTTACAATTTGAGTCACTGAATGAAAAATCGAGAAGAACGCATTCAACAATTATCGCAATTAGAATCGGTTAAAACTCAATTATCTGAAAACAATCAGATGATTTTACATGAGTAAGTGATATGAATATTATGGAAGTGAAGCACTATTAACAATACTATTAACGGCGAAATGCTTGCGAATCGAATTTTCGATGGATATTTTCATGAGTTACTCAATAAGTTATGGAACTAGGTTCAAAATATTTGAAAACATCAACTATGGCTCAGCTGCAGTTGGGAATCGTTGAAGTTTTTAAGTATTTCGACCGTAGTACTATGGCTCATTGAGTGAATTTGAAAATTTTTTTCTAAAACAATCAACTCAATGAGTTCTACAAAGGGTGTGGATGTGTGCTTATGACTATAGCTGTCAATAAATATTCCCTTTGCTAACACTCACACACCATTCTTTGTTTGCATCAACTACTACAGAGTCAGCTATTATTCGACAGTATTGTCTAAACCACAGATGAGCACAGGACAAGATTTTCTTTTCTGTCCTACCCTGTTCTACTAGCTATCTCGGTCCTGGCGGGTGGCAGGACAGAGCAAAACATCAAAATCTTGTCCTGTCCTGTTTTTGCCCTGTTAATTTTTCGGTACTGGCGGGCGTTAGGACAAAACATCACGACTTCTGCCGTTTTTCTGCCAATTAAATCCGTTTTCACAGGTTGTAAAATACCAAGAGTAAGAGTTTTACTTTTACTTTCATTGTACAAAGCAAATATCACCAATTAATATTTTCTAACTAATGGATTTTATACTATTTTCAAAAAAAAAAATATTAGAGATGAGCACAGAACAAGGTTTTTTTTAATCTATCCTGTTCTGTTCTGCTAACTTTTCTGTCTTGGCGAGCGGTAGGACAGAATAATAAGACGTCCTGCCCTGTGCTTATCGCTGGTCTAAACTTTAGGAAACTTATCCTGCAAGGTAAGGTAACCTTGTACATCTCTATTATCATTAACCTTGTTATCATCAATTATTGATCATATTATTCAGTTTTTCGTCAACTTGATTGATTCCATTATGAAAAATATACTAAGAATAATAATTCATTTTTAAGGTTGCTATTCAATTAAATGATACTCATCCAGCATTAACTATTGCTGAATTAATGCGTTTATTAGTTGATATTGAAGGTTTAAGTTGGAATGTTGCATGGAATGTAACAAAACGAGCATGTGCATATACAAATCATACACTTATGCCTGAAGCTGTTGAACGATGGTCAGTTGGTTTATTACAACATGTTTTACCACGACATTTACAAATTATTTATGATATTAATTTACGTCATCTTCAAGTAAAGAAAATAAAAAAAAAGTCTTATTATATTTTTTTTTTGATTTTATATATGTTAAAATTTCTTAGGAAGTTTCTGTTCGTTTTCCAAATGATATGAATCGTCTTCGTGATTTATCAATTGTTGAAGAAGAGGGTGAAAAACGTATTAATATGGCTCATTTAGCTATTGTTGTAAGTAAAAATAATGATTTATTCTATGAATAAAAAAAAACACTTTTACTTTATAATTTTAGGGATCACATGCAGTTAATGGTGTTGCAAAAATTCATTCTGACCTTCTTAAAACAACTCTGTAAATAGATGTATAATTATTGAATAAGATTGATCTTCTTTTGTTTTTTTTTTGTAGTTTTAAACCATTTTATGAATTAACACCAGAAAAATTTCAAAATAAAACTAATGGTATAACACCTCGTCGTTGGTTAGTTCTTAGTAATCCAAATTTAAGTGATGTTATTGCTGAAGTAAAAATTTGTTTTTTCTTTTTCTGCTCGATAAAAATTTTGTATTAATAAATTTATTATTATTTTTTTTTTTTTGTTTTTATATATAGAAAATTGGTGAAGATTGGATAACAAATCTTGGTGAACTTAAACGTTTAAAAGAATTTGTTAATGATGAAGTATTTATACGTGATATTCAACAAGTTAAACAAGAAAATAAACATCGTTTAGCTGAATGGCTTCTTAAAGAACAACATCAACAAATAAATCCAATGTCATTATTTGATATGCAAGTTAAACGTATTCATGAATATAAACGACAATTATTAAATATATTACATATTATTACATTATATAATCGTATTAAAGTTAATCCCGATGGAAAATATGTACCACGTACTGTTATGATTGGTGGAAAGGTATGATATAGAATATGTAAATAATTTTATTCTTATCTTTTTTTTAATAGGCCGCACCAGGTTATCATATGGCAAAGAAGATTATTAAATTAGTAAATAGAAAAACAAAAAAAAAATTTTTGAAAACAAAAAAGACATTATTTATTCTATAGGTCAATAGTGTTAGTAAAATTGTGAATAATGATCCAATTATTGGTGATCGTCTTAAAGTTGTTTTCCTTGAAAATGTAAGTATTCTTTTTTATACATAGATATACAATATGGTTAATGAGGGAAATTTTTCAAATCAATAAATTGCTTTTGAATCGAAATTAAGTACGTTATTTAGAACCAAATAAGATACGTGAAAGTTGTTAGTTTTTTATGAGTGATGTATAAGACCCGGTCTCTATGCAAAGTTTAAAGTCAAAATTGAAAAATATTATGAAAGTGCAATGTCGCAGCAGCAATAGCCTAAGAGTCTGAACTTATTTAATATAGATAGTCTCGACAAAAAAAAGCAATTCATCAGTTCGAAAACATCTCTAATAAGTTGATTTCTGTGATAGGGATCATCTTCTCAGTATTTAGGTGAATCTATTTTCATGATAGAATCATTTCAAGTGATCTTATGACTAGAGTTTTCTGAAGATTTCAACTCAAAAGAATGTCCTATGTATGAGATATCGAATTTTTAAAATATCATCAATATCCTACGGAATAAAAATAATTGTAATGCATCTCGGACAGAGATGTCCATGGCGGCGTTGCCGCTGCCGCCGTGGCGGTGGCGGCGCGGCAGCGGCAGGTTTCTTAAAAACTCATCGCGGCAGCGGCAGAGTTTTTAAAAGCTCATTGCGGCAGCGGCGCGGTAGCGGCAGCATTTTTTTTTCGAGGACATTGAAAAACTGCATGAATTTAATAGAATTTCATTGTTTACAAATGAAACACCCCAAGACTGAATGAATCTGATGGTCTAGTACCAATATTTCTGGTCCAATACAGTTGCAGCAGTGAAAATCGAAACACTTTTTTATAAACCATCGTGGCGCGGCAACGGCAGAGTTTCAGCCGCGATGGGCATCTCTGCTCTCAGATAACCTTTTAAAATCAACTTTTAAATTCAAATTTTACACAAATAAAATTTTTCACAGAACTAATTAATTGCGAAACTGTCCGACTATCTACTGTCACCTATTATTCATGCATAAATATCTGGATAATTCATCTTTCTCTTGATTTTTTTTTGTAAAATCTTTATTTTTGTAGTATCGTGTAACAATGGCTGAACAAATTATTCCAGGTGCTGATTTATCAGAACAAATCTCACTTGCTGGTATGGAAGCAAGTGGAACATCAAATATGAAATTTATGTTAAATGGTGCTTTAACAATTTGTACATTAGATGGTGCAAATGTTGAAATGGCTGAAGAAGTTGGAAATGAAAACATATTTATATTTGGTATGACAGTTGAAGAAGTTGAAAAACGTAAAAAAGAAGGGTAAAAAAAATAATTTGTGATGTTCTATTTTTTTGTTTTTTTTGATAGAAAAAAGAACTTTATTTATTTGATTCTTATGTAGATATAATCCAAAACATTTTTATGAACATAATGATGAACTTAAACAAGCTATTGATCAAATTAAAAATGGTTATTTTTCACCTGAAAATCCTGATTTATTTCATGATGTTGCTAATAGTTTATTAAGTGAAAATGGCGATCAGTATGTTTATTTCAAAAACAAAAAAAAAGAACAATTTTTCTTTTTATGTTTTTAGTTACATGCTTTTAGCTGATTATGAAAGTTATATTAAATGTCAAGATAGAGTTTCTGAACTATTTAAAGTTAATTTTTTTTTTTTTTTATATTTGTTAAAATTCTTTTATAATTTATTATTTAGGATCCAATCAATTGGACAAAGAAAAGTATTTTAAATATTGCTGCATCAGGTAAATTTTCCAGTGATCGTACTATAGCTGAATATGCACGTGAAATATGGGGTGTTACACCAACTCTTACACCATTACCACATCCACATGAAGGTCGACCTGGTACAAAACACGAAGGTGAAGCAGCAGCAGCAGCAGCAGCCGCAGCAGCAACAACAACAAATATTCATGGTTCATCATCTTCACTTAATGAACAAGGAAAAAAATAAAACATTTAATAAAATATTTTCTTCATATTAATCACGTAGACAAAATATATAGTTAATATGATCATTTAGTCAATAGATTTTCATCAAAATAATTTTTATCATATGTATTCAAAGAAAATAAAGTTTCATATGCCGGTGAAAATTCTTCTTGACTAGTTGAAAGAATAATAATAGATAAATATTTAATTTCATATTGTTTTTTTCGTCGTTGATGAATATATCGTCGAATAAATTCAATCATATAAGCAAATATTATTGATAATATTAGTATTATAAAAAACAGACATATAAGAATAATAATACCATCTAACATATTTTAAAAATATGTCAATATAATTCTATATAATCATGATAAAAGAAAATAGAAAAAAACTAGTTTTTTTTTTTGTTTTGTTTCATGTTCATGTATAAAAGAATAGAAGGTTATAAATATATACTTGCTGCTTTTTTCTTTTTTTTTTTTTGGTTGTTAATTATGATTATTCGAATACTTCCATTAAGGGAACTGGCATGTATTTCCGTTTCTATTTTCAATAATATTTTTCTTTCTTTATGTCTTTCCGTTTTGATTACAAACGAATAGAAAGAAAAATTATAGTTGTTAGAAAACAGGAAAAAAAAATTGCCTGTTAAGTTCACACTAACTTGAATTTACTCATATATGTACTAACGATAAGACTATTAACATTATTGTCATATATAATCAAGTTATTTCATAAGTTTGTCTTTTTTTTTTAAAGATTTGATAAAATCAGTTTTTGTATACGCAATAATTTCTAATCATATGTATCTAGTTAGGGTTATCTAAAAGTAAGCATCGATAATACTTTAATAATGTTTTGTAAGCTTGAGAAAATTTTCTTTCTGTATGTACTAATTGTATAAGTAAATCTATATATTTCTGAAAGAGCTCATCATTCCTCAACTAATATCATAGTAATAAGGTCTCGATAAGAACTATTTGTTTTGACATGCGATGATAACACTAATATCCATGTCGGAGAAAAACAAAGGTCGTGTGAGTATTTTTGTTTTGTTGAATAACATTTTATCGAAACAAGATAGAAAATTACCGTTTTCACTAGTTAAAGAAAAGTTTAAGCAGCATCAAATCATATACAATAGATTTATTTTTGTAACATTTGTTCAATTAATTTTCTAAAAGCAAAAGTTATAGCATATAGATGTTTTATCGAAAGAAGCGTTTTCTTTTTTTCATAAACACTACCAGAAAAAGTGATTTAGAGTTTCAAATACAATGCCTAGAACTCTTGAATAACTAAATCGAAACATGTGAGTCTTACCTTGTTTTGTAGATCTTCTATTAGCGGCTGGAATACACATCTGCTGGTTATTGAAAATTCATAGAGTAAATGTGTTTTCAATTAAAAAAACCTCGAAAAAAAAACGTCATATCAAATAATTTCCAGCACACTGTTCGATATGTGATCTCATCGTTTCTTTTCAACGATGGAAATAGTAGCTCTCTATCTAAGTTATTCAAAAACAGCTCACCTACTCTTTTTTTTCTTTGTAGATGTATATATTAATGTTATCGTCATATGCCATGACAAATAGCTCTTATTGAAAGCTTATTAATATAATATTAATTTTAGAATAATGAGACCTTTCAAAAATATAGAACTTTGCTTGTAATGTCAATATATGCAGAGAAAAATTTTTTCTTCAAACTTTTTATACGATATTAAAGTAATATTATTCCTACTTTTCGATTGCTCTAATTAGTTAAGTTTTGATTAATCATTTCAATCTTTCAAAGAAAATCTTCTTTTATAATAATACAAAAACTGAGATCTATGTCGTCTGGAGTAAATTAGGTTTTAATCTCGAAGTATCAAATTTCATTCTTTTTAATATACTTTAGAAAATCTTATTAAACTATATTAATGACATCTGTAGTAGGTCTAATTAAACAGTTGTTTATATGATTAATCAGCTCAAAGTACATTATAATACTTTTTCATTCAGATCATAGTGATTATTAGTTAGATGTTATGCAGGTATAACATTAAATTGAATATTGCCCTTTTACAAATATATTTTAATGAAAGGTAGTTGAGTACATTTGATAACAGCGGTCAATATGAGTCAGTTGTTGCTGAAGCGATAAAACAGTCCGAAGTACAAAAGAATGCTGGATATGCAAGATATGTTTCGAAACATTTTGAAAATGACGAATAAAAAAAAAAGAAAGACAATTAAATAAATACAATTTAAATTGATTGCTCTTTGTACAAGTATGACTTCTTAATAGTTTTTACACTTCTATTATAGTCTAATGAAGATTTCATACTATTGATATTTTAACAAATCAAGGTCTGTATGGATACTACGTAGGAAGTAGGTCACTATGCCATAAATGATAATATATAAAGGTTAAAGATTTTCTAACACAATGCTAAGAATTTTTTCCTAATTACAAAAACAAAACAATGAAAAGAATTTATATGACATTGATGAATTATATGTTACGTTTATTAAAGAAATTCATAAGATAAATATGGCAATTTTTTTTCTTCTAAAGAACAATACCTTGTAATGATTATAAAAAATAATTATTGATAACATTCATATCGTGATAATGGTTTCAAATGATTGATATTTTTGTTATTTCCAAATATTAAAGTAACCATTTTTGCAAAAAACATGACAGGTGTGCATCTTCAATTCATCTACACCTTATATCACATGTAAGAAAAATTTTCAAATATCAAACTCATGATAATCGTTTGTCAATATATCTATCGAATAGCATTTGAGTCGAGTATAATTTATAAATCATGATTTTCAACAAAAAATCAAGAAAAAATCAACAAAAATTATCAATTTTCATTCTATAGCATTACAAGAGAAGATATACATACAATAGTAGAGTACTAAAAGCTTGTCTACATACATTTATGTAGACATTATTTCTCATTTTTCTATATAAACTAATTTTCTTTCGCCTCAAGACTTATGAAACATCCTATAACTAAAGTTGTTTTGCCTTCAGACGAAAATATCTTCAATTAAGTTTTTTGATGAAGAATTAACTTCCTGTATTTGAAATATTTATTTTGACATATATAATTGATAGGATCAACACATTCGAGTTACGCCTTGAAATTATTACTAAGAAATCAAAAAAATAATCTAGGTTTGTTTTTTAAATAACCAATGGATTAAATGATCAAGTACGTGAAGTTATTAGTATTAACGAATGCGTCAAAACTTTTTAGATAAAGTATTTGAAGAGGATCAGTAGAAAGTATTATATACTTGATTAGAATCAGAACTTAATGCTCTTCTCGAATCTATGTTCAACATTTTTGTGAAACTCATATATTCGAAGTTATAAGAAAATCTTTGAAAGACCTGAAAATATAATTTGAACCAAGAATACGACTGTATTTTGTTAGAAATTGATTTAATATTGTTGTTCAGTGATTTTTTTTCTCGTTATTTCGTCAACATGTCCATTTTCGTTTCCTTCAAAGTATCACGTTTTGAATTAGTATCTGGATAAAAGATTTTCTTTTTGCATACGTTCTATTAGGGATATCTGGCACATAATCAAGGTCGAAACTGTCCTCTCTACAAAGCCAGTTAACTACGGAGTCTCACAGTTATCACGTAGAAACTATTAAGTTTACTTTATGCAAATAGAAATCAAGAAATGGTAAACATATGATTGTATTTTTAACTAATGATCAGGATAACGTTTTGTAGAGGAATGTTTACGTATCTTGAACGATGTTATTAAACATCGAAGACCGACTGAACTTTATTTTCAAACGTTTTCAAAAAATTGTTCATACCTCCTGACATTGAAGTCTTACAAAAATTTTGAATATAGATTTGGAAAGAGCACAAAGTTCTGAATCTAATCAAATATATGATAATTTCTGTTGATCTTCTTAATTATTCGTAAAATAAAGCAAAATTTTGTCTAAAAAAATTTCAAAACACTCGTTAGACTCTATATTAATATATAAATCATTGAAATTTGACTTATAATCTCATGAATGAATTATTTGCAAATATTCGAAATACTTTGGATCAATTCAATGTAGTGTTAACTTTATTACATTGTAAATGATTTTTAGCATAAAAAGTACATCTATGATAGTTAATATCTTATTTCATATATAAACAGACTCTAGTTTCTGTGCCCTGTAAGGACGAACTTTTTAATACACTTGATAGAGTAAAGTTCGCTTTGACATTTTCATTAATTTTTTTTTCTCTCAACATATTCTCATTTATCATATGACTAAATAATTGTTACAACAATTTATTGTTTTTGTTTTTGATATATAAATACAAAACAAAAAATTAAAAAGTCTTTGTTTGTTCCATTTCCTTCCATTGTTGAAGTACATCAGCTTTACCATTTTTTGTATGTGAAAAAAAATCAAGTTTTTCTTTTTCGTTTTCTTTAACATAATATGCTAATTTTTTTAATGATTGATAATAATCTGTTTGATCGAATAGCCACATACATCTACCCGCTTTATATAATCGAACAGGCCAATAAGACCATTTTTGTTTATCATCTAATTTGTCAAATAATTGACCTTTATCAATATCCTTGAAATAAAAAAGATGTTCAACTATTTAATATTGTATAACTAAAATTAAGAAAAAAAAAAATAAACACACCCAACCCCAACTTCGAACCATTAGACGTACACCTTGACGAAGATCTTTAATAAATTCTTCATTCTTTTTAAGATCATTTATTACAGCATCGGGTAATTGATAAGTTGAACCTCGACTACTGATTTCATCAACTAAAATGAATACATATTGTTCTATTGATTAGCTGTCTAATTTGACTAATAATATAAACCAAGTTAAAACAAAAAAAAATAATCAAAAAGCATTCTGTATTCGAAATATAATAAAAGTGATCGATGATGAGGGTTCATGGTGAAAAACTAGAAAAACCTCAGATTTAGTAATGAGTCAATATCAAAATGTAATTGTGCTGCTTCCACTTTGTAGTTTTAATAGAAGTAGATAATCATCCTGAAGACAAAACCTATTGAGAAAAATGAATCTTCTTTCAAATATAAAGTTGAAAAGATTTGAAGTTTCATTTAGGGTGTTTCAAAACAGTTACCGTTGTATTCGACTTAGATAAAAAGAAGAAATTATACTAAAATGTTTGTTTTAATGTGAGAGTATATCAATGATATGTTCGGAAAATGTTTCGGATTTGTGTTATCATTGCTTGACAAGTTAACATGTTCAATATAGAGAAAACAAAAGGTTTTGGACTTGAACCACTTTAAGTTATTTTTCAGATTTAGTTTTTTTGGAAACACTTGTTACTAAAGCCTTTGTGCAATGGTAAGTGGAGAAAAAAAAAAGTTTTATTTTCTTTCTAAACTTACAATAAGGCCCCTGACATCTATCACTTTAATGATAAATGATAATAGACTTCGGAAAGTGTATTTATATTATACCTCGAATTAAACGTCTCAAAGATATTTTTTCCATCTGACGAAGGAAATATATCCAACTCTCGAACATCATTCGACTTCATATTATGGCAACGTGTAAGTCTTGATGAGACTAAGAAAGCTTAAAGAAATTTCGGACTCATTATCTATCAATGTGATGTGGTGACATTTTTAATGAAATGTTTACTGTGTACAAGAGATTTCTGGAAAATTCAAAACAAAAATTTTCGACCTGAAATTTATTTTATAACTATTAGACAGTCCGAAAATTTGCAACGAAAACAAACACATCTTTCTTGAGATATACAACTTATCACAAGAAAGACACATTCATTTTTATTGAAATATTCAGAACTACCGACGTACCTATACGAAAAAATCCCAGTCAAAATTCTTAGTTTTAAATTTTCCAAAAATTTCTTGTCCTTAGTAAATAGTTTATTAAAACCGACATAAGTTTTCATTTGTAGGTAATAGGCCTCAATCTTTTCTTAATCTCATTGAGATTTACTCATAGTCATAATATGACGTCGAACAACATCCGACAGTTGGACATTCGAACTTATCAATAATTTTGTCGATTAGAATGAATTAGTACGAATAGAGACTATTCATACTAATTAAAATTTCATAAAAAAAAAAAACAGTTTTGCTAATCGAACTGAATTTGATATTATCTCAATTAACTAACTCACTAGGAAACATCCACCAATCATAATGATGATGATGAAATGCAAGCCAATCTCGTCGTTGATTCCATTCTTCAAATTGTTTTAATTGTTGTTTAAATTGTTCAAGAAGTCTATCTTTTCCAATAAATGTATTTGAATCTGATTTTGGTGATGATGGCGTTATTTTATCAATCTCACTATCACCTCCTTGTTGTTCTCCAGGACTCGATATACATGATGATAAACAATTAATTGAATCTGTTGATGGTCTATTTGAATTTCTGTTTGTATTAAACAAATAATTCATCTTGAATATTCAGCATTTATAAATAAGCAAAAAAAAAAAAATAACAAAAGAAATATCCATTATTAAAAGTTTGAATGCGAGTTTCTACTAAAAAATTTGTCAATACACAACTTCTTATTCTTCTTTTTTTTTTTATCTACATGAAAAGTCAATCGAGAAAAAAAAAATAAGTTTCGATATTAAAAAAAAAAAAAAGAACAAGGTAGTTTTCTCTTAATAGATAACACCCACTCGGTTTCAATTAACATTAAATAACGAATTAAAATGCATCAAAAGAATTATCGTCTATTCTTCCGTTTGATGATGTTGACGGATCTAACGGTGGATGATTGATATTACTTGTTCGAGAATATTCCTATGAAGAAACAAAAAAGCAAATTTCTTTTCCTTTTTTTTCTGTAAACTTTGTAAATATTTATTCTTTAACTTACAAGTGGATAACTCATCCATTCTGTTCCATTTGACATATTTGGATTTGAACTAGATGCGACATCTAAATCGAACAATAGTAATAATTATTTACATATATTAACTTACATCGAGTAGATTGCAATGGATTTATAGACGATGATTGAAAAAGTAAATTATGTGATGATTGTATACCCGTTGGATTATTCATATGTGAGGGATAATTTATGTTCGTACCAAGAGAATGACATTGTTCAAGTTGTTGTGTAATACCCATTATACCTCCTTCTTCAACACTGGCAATTAACCAAATAGGATCTTTTAAAAAAAAAAAGGCAAAACAAAAACAACCAAATAATATAATTTATTATATGTAACAGGTAATCGAAAAGTAATTAGAGAAAATGTTCTTTACGAATATGAGTTTCTTTACAAGATGGTATAGTAATAATTGGTTTGTTCGAAATCAATTGCCAACCGTAAGAGTTTCGGATAAGGAACATCGTGTCAATTTAGATAATTTTCTTGACTTCTATATAAAACAGACATATACTGTCATTTCTGATTGATTGCTTCAAAACTATTGATTCTTATTTCATTTTGAAGGGAACAACCTCGTGTTTAACTCTATGGTAGAAAAATCGGTAATATTAAGTATGAAGTAGAAGAGATTGTGCAGCGCAAAATTTGAATTTTCTTCGTCTAAATCTAATTTTTGCACCTCTAAAAGTTTAACTCATAACTTCTAAACTAGAAATCCTAGAAAATATAGAATCTATATTCGAATACAATACAAAATTTTAATTCTAACGTAATGATTTTAAAGGGCCTGATCACAAATCATGACTTTTTCTGCGCTCTAGAAACATTATAAAATGAAAGTACTTCAACAGTATACAATTATTCTGATATCGGTTGCTTAAGGTCTCGTTCCGTTTGGGATAAAAAATTTAGAAATAACAGAACTCAGTGTAATCTCTGGAGAAAAAAAACTCAGACAACTAACTACAAAAGCTTCACAGATCTCCCCTCCAAGATTTCAATGAATTTTTGTCTATGGACACAACATAGTGTCCTAGTAAAAGAACTCTAAAAGGATTTGAATGCATGTTGAGATTTGGCTAAGCTATCGAGTTCGTAATATGCCTGTTTTCCAGAACCTCCTGTAGCACTCCAGCTTTTCGGAAAAAATTTAATCTTTGACTTTCTACCTGATAATTTGCGCATCCATAGACCTTAAGTGTACTTCCATGAAAAAACTCAGAAATTTTGAATGAAGTCTTTTCAAGATACATAGATTTCAAAACATTTATGCCCTATCCAAGTCAAAGAATCCAATAGGCAGGATTTCGATTCAGATATCATTGGAATCCAATGAAAACCAATAGAATCTCGTCAGAATTTACTGATATCCAGTCAAATCCCACTATCGAAGTTCTTGACACTAGATTTTCGGTTAATTCCAATAGAATTCTGTCGGTCTTAAGACGAATAGGCATGACTCGATGGTTTAGTTTCGATTTGAGTATAGAAGATCTATGGAAAAGGGTCTATATCTTGAAATTCTGATATATCGCAGAGAATTCGTTCAAAATCTCTAAGTTTTATTCATAGAAGCTAGTATAGTTCAGGTCTGTAAATGCACAAAGTTCTAAGTCAAAACTTGAAGATTCAGTTTTTCTGAACACATGGAGTTCTACAGAAGTCTGTGAAAAATAGGCATATTACAAATTAGATAGCTTAGCTAAATCTCAACATGTACTCAAATCCTTTTAGGAGTCATACTAAGACACTGTTGTATTCATAAACAAAAACTCATTAAAATCTGAGAGATACACCTGTGAAGGTTTTCTAATTAGTTGTCGCTCTTTTTGAGTAGTTATATACTGCTGAGTTAATTTCGTTTAATAATGTTTTTTTTTCAGAGTGCGGAAAAATTCATGATTTTTTTACTAGGTCTTTTCATCATGTCATAGTATGCAGATTCCGCTCTGAAAGAGAGAGGAGCGTACAGGTCGCGTCTAAGCGAACATTTTCTTTAAAATAAAAATCACGCCTTTTCAAGATCTGAATATAAAGAAATATACTTTAATATAGTCCATCTAATAGTATGAATAACTTTGTTACAACACTCAAAGAATCTGAAAAATCATTTATCGAAAAATAACTTGAAAATCGTGATGTCACCAGAAAAACTGATATTTGAAAAAAGTAAACTGTTCGATAGACTAATCAAGTATATTTTTTCAATCTTCAAATCGTGCTCTATACAAAGTTTTAAAAGTTTTTTTTTTTAATTTGTACGTTGAACTTCTAAAAAAAAAGAATATAATATTTATTCTTTTCTCTACAGTGTGTCATTCGAACAGCTATTCTTGTTAAATGAACAATTCACTAACATCCAACCTCCAAACTTTTCTAAATTTTATCAGAATATTCTTCTATCTACTGTCTTTAATTTTTGTTAGTGCAAACGTTCCAGGACTGCATGTTAGATTTCGAAAAAAAAAACTAGGATTTTCAGTTTTTCTGATTTTAGAAAAATATTTAATGGACAAAAGGTTGTATATTTGTAATTAATGTATTGAACTACGTCGAATGATATATATATAACATAACTTAATTTCTCCAAAAAACTTTGTTTTTATATCCAATCATTTCTGAGCAAGAAATGCACACTGAGAAGAGAAGAACTTCAAGAAAAAGAAAATCTATTTTTTTAAACATCCAAAAAACGACAATTGAAATATTTCTCTACCTCCAAATGGTACACCAGCTGATGTAAATAATCGCCATTGTGATCTAATAATACGTGATACATTTGGACTTGTTATATTAACTGAAATATTTGTTTGTTCACCAGGTGCTAATGAACTAACATAGATTTCATCTCGATCTTGTAAACGATCACCATTTACAAAACGTAATGAACAATTATTTGGCCATCGTTCAGTACCTTAAAGAATATCAAATAATTCTTATACATTTGATATTTTAGAAGAATAAAAAAACGATATTTACCAGAATTTTCAACTCTCCAAGTTTTAATAAATCGTGTATTAGGTGGAATAGCTTCACCTTCTCCAACAGTAACATCAGCAATAAATCTCATTTGAGGTATTTTATCTGTTGGCATTTCCGCATCATAATAAGCGAGTATAGCTTCATTTAAATTCCTATAAAATAGAAAATTTTATATAATCAAAAAGAAACAAAAAATATATCATATTTACCAATTACTCATTTCAAGAAAAAATCCACAACCTTCATCTGTTAACATAGCATTCGTTGTTGAACGAAATTGTGCAATTAAATCTTCACGATTACAAGTTGTTATTGAACGTAATCGTTCCATTAAATCTTCATCTAAACTTGACATACCGGCTATTGATGATAACGGTTCGGAATCAATATCCATTATAAGAAGAAAATTAAAAAGATAAATGCGTTAAAATCTGAAAAAATTGAATTTATTGATATTTGTATATAATTATTTAAATATTTATTGATCATAAAAAACAAAAAGAAAGAACAAAAACAAAAAAAAGCGAATGAGAATATTTGATGATGTACTTCGCCGTCGCACGTTAATGGTGATATTTATTGTTTTTTTTTTTTTTGCTTTTTTTCAATAAAACATATTTTACCCTTTATCAATATAATATCAAGAATACAAAAAAAAAAAAAATCAAATATTGAAAAAAAAACAAAAATTAAAATACAAAGAATAGAAGTCATTTATATGATTGAAAAAATTTTATTGTTCAATACTAATAATTAACGCTTAAATACATCCGTTATAATTGGAATTGTTGATTCTAAAATCTTATGAATATGAAATGGAATGAATATAAATGCTGAATATGTAATAAGTGAAATAATAAGAATAAATATGCTTATTATAAGAACTCTTTCCCATGGTTCCATAACATAAAGTGTAGTTGTTAATAAAAATTGCATATAAAAACTTTGTATCAATTCTAATAATGGTTTATACCAAGCAGATTGTCGTTGTCGTCTGATTTTATTCTATACGTAAAAATACAAAATTATAGAGATCTTTAATTGATGATTTATTAACATGATGAATATTTTATTGAGATTGTCTAAATCGAACAGTTCTTTTTTGTTTTGTTTAATTAAAGAAAAAGATTTTAGTTAATTTTTTTTTAACTTCAATCTAGTCATATTATATTATATATTACCGATAATTCATCGTGGTTCAACGTCATTGAATCCAAATATGATGTCCGCGTTGTAACATTCATCGTCGTCGATGGTCAATGAACTATTTTATTTTATCGATAGACGCACTCGCACTCAAATGATATATATGTATTAAATGTGCATATATTTGAGGGAGAACGAAGACGAAATCATGAAAATATGAGAAAAACAAAGCAAATAAATAATGATGTCGAAAAAAAAAAACGTTTGTACGTGTGAAGTGGGAAATGGCAGGATACTTGGCTGTCGTTATAAAAGAGGAAAAAGTACAAGTAATACGACTAAGTATTTAACGTAAAGAAGAAGCAAAAAAGAAAAGAGAAAAGGTAATAACTATGAACGTTAAAATCAAGTACGTTAATATGATTGATAATAAATACGCACAGTAAAGTTGAGTTTGTATTTGAATAATTAATCTGTACATAAACGAAGGTATAAGAAAAAAAAAACGAAAGGAAAGAAACGATATCATTCATACATGTTTAAAAACGAGAGGAAAAAAAAAGTCAATCACGCGCGCAAAGCAACCCATTGTAAGTCACTTGTTACAATGTAGGAAAAAAAATGAAGCATGATGAGGGACAAAAATAATCATGGTATATATCGATACATGTAAGTAATAAATAGTATTTCAACGTATTATTATTTTCTTTTTAGATTCTTAAAGCCGCAGGTAACTTTAAAATCATATATTTAATTCTTACACAAAGATTTCGAAAATATTAATGTATGTTTGATCATTTCTTTTTGTTTTTTTTTTTTTTTACATATAATATAAGAAAAAAACAATATTGTTCTTGTATTTTGTTTTATTTCAATCTGATCGAGACATAAAACCACAGACAAACGAGGCATTTCAAATTTGTTTCACATTCATTCAAAAAAAGAAACAAAAAAGAAAACAATGAAAATGTTTACGATACATTATTTTTTATTGCTGATTATGAATAAAATTGTATCATTGAACGAATGTGAAGAGGAAGAAAGACCCAAGCTGAATAAATAGCTGTCGATATAATAGCAACAAGTAATGTTGAGAATAGTGCACGTTCCCATGGCTCAAGCATATATAATGCTGTATTAAGTAAATATTGTAAATAAAGCCAATGGATAAATTTAAAGAAACGACGTACACTTGACAGCATTTTATTGTATTGGTCTGTACAATAAATAATATTTGTCTAAAATGAAGAAAAAAAACAACAACAATAACATCGAGACGGTTATTTTGCTGTAGTCAAAGTGAAATTACGCAATTTAAAATAAAGAGTTAACAAAAGAATCAAATAATGATCGTCGAAGTAACAGATAACAAACAAACCTGGGTCGGTAGAGGGGAAGAAGGGGTTGTTGAAGAAAGAAAAAAGAAGAAAAAGACAAAAAACTCATTATGATTAGATGATATATAAGAACCAAACAAATTTGAAAAAATTATATCTATAAATTCATCAGAATGTCAAATGCGAAGATAAACATCAATAAATACTCATAGATTATTGTCTAATCGATAAATAAAACTAAAATATACATGATTAATAATATTCTGTATAAGAGTGACATCTGTTGAATTACTTAAATATATTACAACAAATTGATCTTCAATAAAAAAATCAACGTCAATTGATCAATACTGTTGTAATTTTAGCAGTATCTAGATAAATATGTTATGTATCAATGTATAATAATATTAATAAATTGATATTATGTCCTTCCTCAAGAACGTTTTATTGCCGAAGATGCATGGTTTTAATGTATATGCTCAACGTTTATGATTTTATTTTATAATTAGATTCATATCTGTCACTGAACGTAATAGCTACTTATTGCCATTGAATAACATAAAATGTGCATGAGTTGATTTTTAGTTAAATTTCGATGTTATGAAAGAATAATCTTGTTTTATTACACGAAATTTGCTGTTTTTTATTACTAATTATTTATAATATGGCACTTCACAAAATATGTTCAAATAGAGATTACAATGTAAACTCTGCTACAATAGAAAAATTATACTATACAACAAAAAAAAGACAAATCATTCGAGTTAGACGATTTCTTTTATGAATACTTGTTTATTCATAGATATATGTAATTACTTTTTCATGATTTATATTTTGGAATTTTTTTAATTGATGTCTTTTTTTTTGTTCTCTAATGAATCAATCATAGGAATTATTTTAATTGACTTTGAAAAGCATCTGACAAATTTTGATGTTTCAGTTATAAAATTTTAAATTTCTGATGTATTTTTCTTCATGAAATCAATAATAAATAATATGACACAAGAATTGACAGTTCTTATTACAATACATATATATATGAGTTAATTGCAAGTTTATTGTACCGCTGTATTCTTGAACATAAAATTTCAATATCTCGAGTTTTATTCAACCAATCCTTGTGGTTTTTTTACCACATGTTCTACTAAGAAGTCCTCACTACCACACAAAAAAAAATCACGGGGCTATCTTGAATAAGTCCTGAGATACTGGCTCTACAAGGCTCAAAAGTTCGATATCTGCTACCATTGATTAAACGAAAAGTCGTACGGCCAATTCGTTACTTGTTATTTGAATTTTGACAGTTGATGATATTTATTATCTACAGTCTACACTTCTCGAATATAAAACTAATTGGTTCGTTCGACGTTTTTTTTTTTATCATAGTTTTCTCGAAATACCATGAGTACAGACAACCCTCAATTTTCTGTCACGCGAGATTAAAATTCATTTTGCTACACAATGATCCGTCTGAAATTGATCGGGCTGGTGTCAAATAAAAGGCAGTTGGTACTATATAAAACCACTAGAGACGATGAGATAATTGTCCTACGTCTTCTTGAGAAAAAATATAAAACGAAATTTACAAATTCAATTGTCACACAAAATGTCGCGCGAGATTTTTCAATTTGTTTGGGGCATAATTTTCTTATACTATGCCAGAATGCGACCAAACTTTGATCATTTTATTCACTAATTATGCTTAACTACTGGTTAAAATATCAGAATTAGAAGACCTGTCTATCGTGCGAAAGAGGGAAAATATCGTCAATATGTCACGCGAGATTATTAATCGTATAAATTGCTCTAATCAAGTGAAACTAAAGGTGGTTCCGCATAATACCTATATGTATGGCCATAATTTATAAAAATTTTTAATATATTTGACAAAACCCCCGTATGTTGAAAGTTTGATATATATAGGCAGAACAACCATATTTTAGCATATTTCATGTTTTTTTTGCGTGGTTTTCGTGTATCATAGCCAAACTCAGAGTGGTAGTCGGGAAACTTCAGTTATCTTCTTCTCTCATATAGTACACTAAAATGCACCACTCATTACCCTTCAAATCAAAGAATTTTTTTCGTCCATTATTTTCTTGAAACGGTACAATAAACTTGCAATTCGCTCATATATATATATATATTCACCGTCAAATATTGAAATATATTTCATCAAATTAAATATGAATAAGAGCCCAGATGTATGATGTCGATTATTGCATGATTGCCTATATTTATTAATTATCGTTTAATAATGGAGTCCAAATCGACGAACGACATATATTTCATGTATTTAAAATAAAAGCATTTAAATTATTCTATTTTAAGAAACAACATGATGATATACAAGTTTTTCTGTGACGAGTATTTATTTTTACAAAACATCAATAAAATGTAATTAAATAAGATTTGATAATGAATATATGTCAGATCATGAAAAAAAGAGTTTATAGAAAAAAATACGATTACTTACTGAATAGCATATGGAAGACAAGCTACTATAAAACAAATGTCCGATGGAATAGTGATTGTATGAAACTTGTATTTCAAGATTTTTAATAATGCTGCTAGAAGTTGAAAATATTGATTAACTAAATGTTTGTGTTTCTTTCAGAAGTTTAATGAAACTTGATTTTGTGGGTGTATGAATCCAATAATAGTGGAATCATTTCTTTTATATTTGGATAATTTTTACTAAATTCAATTAATACTTTATAAAGTTCTTTCAGATTCTTCATAATTTGATCTACCTCTGATACATGTTTTGCCATATGTGTTATAACTGTTGTTATTGATGATATAGTTAGCGTTTTTTTTTGGAGATTTAATTTGAGCTCGGAAAGTTTCTGTAATATTTCTTGGACAGTTTCACTCATTTCTTTTACTGATTCCGTTTTGAATGATTGCATCAATTCATTTTCTCTAAAGTCAACTCCAATCATGTGAACAACATTGTAAAAATTTTGAGGTTGCGTTAGCAAACCAGTCATCATCTGCGATTGTAGAAGTCATTGCTTTAGGATGAAGTTCGGTTGCCATTGGTAGTATTTTAAGATGTAAAACTGAAGTGATAAAAAAAAGACTCGTCAATGCAACTGCATGGGAGCTAAAATATGGACCTAACATGTATTATTTAGCCTCATTATATCAATACAAAATATGTTAATTAATTGAAAAGCCTTTAGCAGACTATAGTTGTTTTCCAATTATAATTGATTGCTAGGAAAGCGACCCGTCCCTTTTAATTCTACATTTCGAATACAAACTTTTCTTTGTTATTTTTAATTGAATCTTTATTTTTTATTTGTTTCATTGCTTTTTATTTTCATATTTCATTTTTCTTATATTTAAGATTATTATCATTATTCTATCTATCAACTTAAGTGGTAAATAAGTTAGTTGTAGATATTATAGTATCTACAACAGGGTTCCACACACTATTATTCATCTCGATAATAACACAAATACTAATATGGAGTGTTTCAAAAAGTTAAAACGTGATTAGTTCATGCATCTGATGTTGTCCATATTAAAGTTGGGTATGGTTGTGAATTCGAATGGGTTTTCATTTCATACACCCTTACGATCATTGTGCTCAGCTTTAGCTTCATAAACAGTAATCTTTCTAATGCTTATATGATATAGCAAACTATTCCTTGTTCTACCGTAAAGCCCATGACGCTTAGTTTTATTGCATCTGTAACAAATTGTTCTTTAATTTTCTGTATAGTTCATTGAATGTTTTGTCTATTTATTTCTAATTTATGCATCTTCTATATCAGTATAGTTTCGTCAATCAAACATTTTGCTTTCTTTTTTTGGATATGGTCATTAGTTTCCATTTATTTCATAATTTTCTTCCACAACTTCTTCATTTGTTAGATTATTTTCATATTGAATAGTTTGTACCACGTCGGTCTTTGTTAGTCGTGGCCTCTAAGCTGAAGTCAGAGGACAGGATAAAAGTAAAGAATACCTATATGGATGTTCTGCATATCATCTGCACTTATCTATTGATTTAATTATATACTGATTTCATAAGTATTTAATGTAGACACAAGTTACGATATTAGCAGTTTATTGTTGAAGTTTATTTTATACGTTCTTATACAATATATATCATTTAAATACATAAGAATTATTATTAAGAATATTTTTGTGTTGATGTTTCGAAACACAATTGATTTTTAGTCAAATACTTTTTATCAAATAATTGTATATATAAATTAAATAGTTACATACATACACACAAGAATAAAAACCACAAAAAAGGAAGAATACAAACAAACTATGAGAAAAAACAATATTTATTATGAATATTAAAAATCGCTAAGCGAAATAATTCATTTTATTAATTAAACTGGAATAGCATTCATTGATGTAGCAACTTCTTGTTGTCGACGAACTAAATTCTAAAATATCAAAATTGATAATTATAATACATTAAAACAAAAAAAACGACATTTATACGAACTTCTTTAATAGCTGTTAATTGTTGAAGAATATGTTCTTGTCGAGATGGAGGCACATGATAAGGCGTTGGTTGAACACTTGCATTTTGTCTTCGATGATGATCATCATTCGTTGTAGTCTATTTAAAATTTTATTATTATTATTATTATTTATTGCCTAATGAAAAACAAAATTTTTCTTATTACTATATACATACTATTACTTGTTGTGTATGAGCTGATGTTTCTCTTGATGGTGGTATAGGTGAAAAAGCTTTTGATGGATCAAGTACATCATCTGTTCTTGTATATGGTATAAAATGTTCATATTTATCTAATGATGATATATTATTATAATGTGTATCATCATTATCTGTTTTTGTTATAAGAAATGCTTGTTGTGAAATTTTTTCTCTTGGAATATTTATATTATGTTCATTTTTAGGATATATATTATGTTTTAAAACTGTTGAATGTGTACGATTTGTTGGAATAGTTTTTTTTTCTTTACGTTCTTGTTGTAATTCACTATCACTCTTCCAACGATTATATGTAGGTTTTTTTTGTATATCATCAATATGATCAAAATTTTCTTGTTCATGATATTTTGAACGATGACGTTTTTCATAATGTGGATCACGTTTTGAATTTGGTATATATTCACGATGTTTAGGATTTTGATAATTCCATAATGGACGATGAAGAACATCTAATGGACCATAATTACTACGATTTGTACCTATTTGTGATGTAATACCATCATCATTTGTATTATTATTTGAATGTGTTGTTGTTATTGATGAACGTCGTTGACGTTGATGATCTTCAAGTGAACGTATACGAACATTTTTTTTATTTTGTTTTGAATTACGAAGAAGATGATTTGGAATTTGAGGTGGTAAATCAGATTCTTCACGAGTAAAAGGAAACATTTGTTTATGTAATGCCATTGGAAGATCTGTTTGAACACTATTATCACTAAATTAAAGAAAACACAAAAAAAAACATTCTTTTTCATTGATAATAGATAAAAGTTAAAATAGAATTTACCTTCGAAATGTTGAATTTACTGTATTAACAGCTTCATCACGTCGAGCATTATTTATTCGATTAGATTGTTGATTATCATTACCAACATTTAAATGTAATGGTTCAATTTTCATTGTTATATTTTTTTTTGGTGATGAATCAACATTTTTTTCATTTGTCTTTTGAGTTGAAACTGGAACGGGTGTCTTCATAGCTATAAAGAAAAATTTGAAAATATTTTCTTAAAAAAATAATATTTTTAATACAAACCTGGTAATGTTTTTGCTAATAAATCAGTTTTATGTCCATTTCGTTTAAGTTTTTCAATTAATTGTGCTTTTTTTTCATATTTAGCTAATTCAGTTGCTTCAACTATTTTATCATATGTTTGTTGTACTAATGAATCATGTCGATTGGATTTCGTTGGATTTTGTACAGTAGTATTTGTTACTAATGTGTTAGAAGTAGGTGTTGATGATACTTCCTTTTCTGGTTGATGTCGATTAGCAGCTTCTTGTAATAATGGTTGAATATTTTCATGTAAAAAATCTTGTCGACGTTCAGTTTCTTGTTCTTTAAATTTTTTACGTTTATTTTCTTCAATTTGTTTTTGTAAATCTTCTAACCATTGTCGTCGTTCCATTTCTTTAGCTGTTTTAACATCATCTTCAAAACGAACATCACCAAATAATAAATTCGTACGCATTGCAGCTGGTACATGTGTTTGATCGTTGAGAATAATATTCGATGGTATGGAAGAAGAATCTGACGGTCGATATGGCATAACAATATTGGAAGATGGTTGCTGAAAAATAAAATTAAAAAAACATAAATTTATAGAAGAGATATAAAACAAACTAATATTTGTTGTTGAATTTCGTTGTTCATAGGTGCACCAGCACCAGGACGTCCAAATGGATTCCAAATAGGTGTTTTTTCAGCTAAAATAAAAAAAAAATGATGTATGAAATGTTTTCTTCATATAATTTGAATGTACCATTTTCTTGTTTCCATTGTTGTTGTTTCTTTTCTATTAATCGTGTTTTAAGTAAATCATTTTGTAGATTATCATTTTGTTTAATTGAAGGTGGAAGTGGCGGTTTATTCGTTGATAAATAATCAGATGGATATGTTGATCGTTCTAAAATAAGAAAAATTAGATTCATTTAGATATTTAATTAAAATCTACCAGGCGATGATGAAGTTTTTTGATTCATAGGAGATAATTGATGTTTAAGTTGATCATATTCAACTTCAAGTTTCATTCGATCCATTTCAGCTAAAATATAATCAAATAATTTAATATAAATTTCGACATAATTCTAACCTTTTTCACGTAACCATTTTTGACGTTTCTTTTCAGCCATCATACTCAATGCTTCTTGTCGAGGTGAGATTGGAGCTAATGGTGGTGGTGGTTGTGATTGTGAAGGTAAATCTAATTTAGGTACGATAGCTAAAGATGAAACTTCATTGAATTGCTGATGTTGTGGTTCTTGTTGTTGAATTAATTGTTGAGATGGTCGTGAAGGTTCTATAACATTTATATAAAGATTTACATTTTAACTTTAATTAAAATTAAAAAAAACATACCTTTACTTTCAAGTGCAATATAATTTTGAGCTGATAATTAAAGTGTAAATTAAATAAAAAAAAATGAATTATATTTTTTTTTACCTTTAGTACTTTCTTGCACAGTTTTAACAAGTTCTGATATTTCATCCATGGTCATATACATACCGGCTGATGAACCAGTTTCACTAAAAGTAACTTTATGTTTTTTCTTTGTCTGTTTATTTGATGGATTTTGTGGACTAGGTTTTTGACTACTAGGTTTAAGTTTCGATTGTTCAGAAGGACGAATTGTATTTATAGCATGACTATTATGTTTTGGTTTTGATTTTATTGAAGATTCATCTAGAAAAATTTTATTATTAAATGAAAAAACAAAAAAAAATTCCAACAAACCAAGTGCATCAAAATATATTTGTGGTTTTCCATTGATCATTTGTGTACGAAATTGCATTTTTTCACCTGCTGAAAAAGAAGAAGAAGAAGAAAAACAAAAGATTCTATGAATAGATAAAAAATTTTTATTATTATTCTTACATACCGATAGGTCCTGATTTCAAAGCAGTTGTTGCAGCCATTGATTTATTTTTTTTTAATTGTATCACTTGAAAAAAGTCAACAACATCTATGCATAAATATATATATTTTGTTTTGTTTATTATTTTTAATATGTATGTATGTTTTTTTGTCTCTTTATTCTTTCATAATTGATGAATATAAAATTGAATTGCTTAACAACAACCTTTCTTCAATACATATTCTAATGCATAAGTATGTCATTGCTTAGCAACAACTTACTATCAATAGAACATAATAGAATATTATTGATACAAATATGAAATCTTCATTAAGACTTAAACATACTTGTTCAAATGTACAAAAACGTATTGATGATTCAAATGAATTTTATCCTCTACTTGATTATTCATTTCATGATGCAGAAAAAATTGAAGGTTTGAATTTATTTTATAGTTTGTTTTTTTTCGTTCCTTTATTTACTTTAGAATTTCTTTGATTACTATTAATAGATGCTGTTTTGACTCAACCACGTGTAGCATCTGGAGCACCTAATGTTATTAAAGAAGGTAATCAATATCATTCCTATGGAATTAATTTAAATCATAATAAATTAAATGGTTCTTTGGAAACATTACCTAATTTTATACGAAAAATATTTATAAATCCAAATGCACTTTCAATAATTGATTTATCATTTAATACATTTACAGAAATTCCTATTGTAAGAAAAATTTATGATTTTCAATTAATACATGTGGATTTCTTTTTTTTTTTTGTTAGGCTATTACACAATTTTCATTACTTAAACATTTTTATTTTCATAAAAATTTTCTTATTAATATAAATGAAATTCAAAAATTATATTCATTAAAAGAACTTAAATATTTAACATTACATCGTAATCCAATTGAAGATAATATACCTTATCTTCGATCTTATGTTTTATGTTTATTACCTGGTTTACGAAGTTTTAATTGTACACCGATTAGCAAAAGTGATTTGAAAACAAGTAATGCATGGCAAAAAATGAATAAAAATTTAACACCAAAAATTTTAAATAAAATTTTACAAAAATAATTTTCGTTTTGTTTTTTTTTGTTGATAAAATATGTAAATTGCTACTTCTTCAATTACATTTTACATGAAATGAGTATGAAAATTAAATTTGATGCTTCGAGACATGAACACAGAAAATTAATTTTTATTAGAAAAACTTTTCGTACAATCTCTACGGAATACAAATGTGAAACACAATAAGAGTTGCTGTTGCTAATCACAAAGAGATTGTTGTATTCTATTTTTTTTGGGATATATTTCTTTATCATCATTTTACTTAATTCTTCAGAAATGTAATAAGAAATGTTTCATTATAATTTAGGGAAAATGAAAAGTTCGCGTTTAGTGTACTCTACTAATTTCAGTTAGTGTCAAATAAGAAAATCATTCAAATTTGGTTTTATATTTACAAATGAAAAGAAAAGTTATTTTATACATCACTTTCGTTCATAAAAAAGTTGAGAAAATTTTAACTGTATGATTTTAAAAAAAATTAACTTTCTTCGTCTTTATACAACGACTCTTTTTCACACGAATATCAAAATTTGAAAAAATGAATTTCTCAAGTGTTTACATCAGAGCTACCAACAGGCTACTTTTTTTCGGCCTGACCTGGCCTGCAGGTAAGACTAATATTTCAAAATTTAGCCTGACCTGTTGCCTGCCAGGCTAGCAGCTCTCGTTTACATGTGTTTTTAGAAAATCTTTTCTGCTCAGATAGAAAAAAACAACCAACAAAAATATCGAAGAGAATAATTTGCCGTTATCGACTACCAATTGAATACATGAAAAATATCGTGTGGTTTCTAGTGTATATGTCATATTCGATGAGTTTGATCTTTCTATACCAATGTTTATGAGAAAAATATAATTTATTGCATAAATATTGTTTGCAAGTCACCCATACCGAAAACTACCATGAAAATGACGAGAAACGGTTGGTCTACAAATCAGCCGTATTTGAAAATAAATATGGACGACGATTCTCTCTGACAAATGATGCTTCCACCTTCACTAGTAAAGTACTCTCGATGCATATGAATGATTTTCCTTAACACTTCATAGTCCATTGTATGAGATGACCCGTTACAGTCTATCCAAAGTGGATTTTTGCCTGTGATGATATGATGCAGTACGTATAATCACTTGACTCTTGAATGCGAAAATGCCTTTTTTCTTAGGACAGACAGAGCTTTTTAACAGCTAGAAAGTAATGCTAATATATGTACCAAAATAAGCTACCGTCAATAGTTTCCAAAGTATATACAGCTGCAATCCTGTATAAAAGACATTAGATATGACATCTGTGTTCATACGATCTCCGCTATCAATTATGACACTAGAGTCACTGTTTCCAGCGCATAAGGAGCTTTTTAAGAGCTTCAAAATGATGCTATCGTATTTATGAAGTTGTGTTGGCTTCAAAACAGCTGGTAAGTTCGAATGAAGAGTATGATAAACTATAACTGATTGTCTTGTTGGTCTCTGATATGCGATTGACGTCTGTAATCATGAAGCTAGTCTTTGTAACTTGAGAATGCGAATAGATGAGATGTCAAAGACGTTAAATATGGAGTATATTAGGATTCCTTAGGATTAGAGTCTGCTTCTTGGAATCGCAAAGCTCAAGAGTATATTACTGTCGTTTGTGAACTTTGGAAGTGATATGAAATGAGTGTATATCTCAAGAGAAAAGTCATAGAGAGATATATAATTGCTTGTGTTGGCCTAGATTCCAGGTGCACAGATTTTTGCGTCCCTAATGTCGGAGATAGGTTCAAACTCAGAAATCCCTTTTGCATAGTGGTTGTGGCCAATTGTTGTCGAGCTGTTCTGATTTCATGCCACTTATAGCAGAGAAAAAAAATTGCTCCACTGGATTTGAACAAAAACTGAGCTTTGGGGACTCTTCCATATATGTAGAATCGATGTGATTCGAACCAGACAAAAACTATCCATAGACCATGGTATTTCTCTAAAAGTGCTATGTTATGATACGTTTTATCGAAATCACTGAACATTTTTGAGGTCTGTTGAAACTGAGAAGAATCGACCGGGTTGGTTGTACTCTTGTAGTGTCAATGCTCCCAAGTCGCCTGTACTAGTCAGAGATCCTAAATCCACTCCGGCTCTGAGACAAACTTCTTTATTGTACATGAGGCTCGGAAAAAGTTTATTGATAAAATAGCATTTTGAATTTTTTTTTCTCAGTGAGCTGTGATTTTTTTTTTTAATATAAAAATTTAAATTCTGCGAAAAAGCCTCAAATTGATTGAAAAGATTATTTTTCTAGAATATTTTTATAATTAATTAATACATGTAAATGTTATTAAAGATTCATATTTAGCATACATAAGTAATGAGTATTGTTTAAGTAGTTTATTTAATGAATTTTATTTTATTAAGCCTGCATATTTATTTAATTGAAAGACATATTTATTTCTTTGATTTATTACATTTGGATATTGATCAACTGCGTTTCAATGACAACTTTTGAATCATCCAATATAGCAACGAAAAACTTTTCCTTATTATGCAACTACGAGGATTGCCGTTTGGTAATAATAAATTCATTTTATTTCTCCATTAGAAAAAGATTTAGTAATATTTTTCGAAACTATGTAAGAATATACTCAGAAATAACTGACGAGATTCATGGCGAAGATTCATCATAAGAACTTATGTCGTAAATTAAACTCTTAATAAGGGAAAAAATTTATAAAATTCATCTTACGAAAAAAAACCAAATGTTTTCTGTTAACATAAAGATCATGCTACCAGTTTTCTGATCATCAACAGTGAACATGATTAATAAAAAAAATAGCATAGACTCTATCTAAGGATCATTTAAACAGATATTAAGTCTCAACCATCTGATGAAATTCCTAAGCAAGGTCGAAATGCGTTATAGTTGTTTGACCAACGTCTACATTCTAATTTGATTTTAGTTTTTATACTCTTGGTTTAATTGTATATTTGCTGAAGTTCAGTTTTCTGAAATCGCTTCTGCTGCAATACGTATTTGTTAGCTTCTTTTCGCTACGGCTCATTCGGTGAAAAAAAATTTGATGACTTAAGTTTTACGAAGTGCCAACAGTATCAAACATTGAGAATCGCCATACAAGCCTAATATGTTTTATTGTTGTATACGATACTAAATAATAATTTACGATAATGATGCTGCACTAATGTTTGACATCTCCATGTATCAAGTGTTGTAAGAATGCCCTTAACGATCACTTACGGTCGTAATTTAGATATACATTGGTAATAAATCGTTATCAACAGTAGCATGCATTCATGCATCATGCTTGATAAGAACTTACATATCCCTCAATCGTAACTAATACATCAATAAAATCGTGCTATAGAAGAATTGATTATCATATTACAGACCGTTTAAATGGTAGATTTCACGGGAGAGTTCTATGAATTGTTGTTTGATCTACTGCTACAAGCCCGACGGCGGAAACGATAAAAAAACAAGTTAAGTGTATCAAACATGGCGCAAATAAGTTAGACGGATAGATGTTCAATGAGTCGCCATGTAGCAAGTTGATATTGATCGATCAAATTATACATTATCGTTTTATTCAGTAGCACTGAACACAAGAGTCGAATAGCTTAAATCATTCTATGTTTTAGTCTCTGTTGAAAATTTAGTAAGAAAATTTTTTTATTCATATTACTTCGATTATACTACAATAATTACAGTATTGTTAAAAATTATAACAATAAGATATTTTGAGTTTCTTTTCTTCAATAGTAGTGACTACTTAAGTCAAGTCACAAGTCTACTATCGATAGACTGATATATGCTGTGTCGAATGATATGTTTTCCAAGACTTCAAAAAAAGTATGATTCAAAAAAAGGTTCTATGAAAAATCTACCAACTAAGTTCAAACTAACAAATAGAAGATCACAGTAATATATCGTTTTGTGAGGAAAAGCTGAAAAAACATGATAGATAATTGAAAACGAAGCAATAGTACAGTTCTCCAGATTTATATAATCGCTGTAGCTCTTCAACGGTCGATCAAAATCGTTATTGTGATTGAATTCGACTGCTTGATATTATTGTAATAACTGAAAATATTTTGGTGTGGGTGTAGTGAAAGTTTTCATACGACCACCTAGACATGTACGAGACCAACTTTTTTTGGTCCTAGTCTCGATCTCAGTGACTTTCATTTTTCTGTTGCTTGCGCGGACTTAGAGAATTTGTTGCAGAATCTACTAGTCTTGGATCTGGAATAATTCTTAAATACGTACATTTTTTTATTTTTCTTGTGGACTACAGACATGAGTAGGACCACAATTTTTTTCTGATCCCGACCTCGGCCCTGGTAAAATTTTATTTTTGGCTTTCGATCCTGCACATGTCTAGTATCACTATCCCTCGACACTTTCGAGCAGCCTATATAGAACATCTCAAAACTGAGGGAACACGATCGAGTTGACAAATACAATATTCTAAATAGATTACCATTTATTTTTGTATATCACATGTCATTCTAAATGTCAGTAGTCTCCGTTAAGCTTATGTTTTCATGCTGTCAAACGAAAAAATCCATTTATATTCAACAGACTTTTTTTTCGGCTGTTAATACATATGATGACAAAAGACAGTTTTCATTTTAGATCATTGACAATTTATTCATTAAAAACAGCGAAAATTCTCCAATGGACGAGACACGTTGTTCCATATTCAAAAATAGAAAAATGAATACAATATTTGGTCTAGCAATTTTGATCTTAACATTCATTGGCGCTCTGATTGCATTAATAGTCATTGTCGCTAGAGTTGGAGTAAGATCAGATAAACAAGAATCAACGCACCGAAAAGTTTTGTTTATAATCGTGGATGGTATTCCTCCAGATGTCATAGAAAATATTTCACTACAAAACATGAAGAAGATTCAAGAGATTGGAGGCTACACGAGAGCTTATGTTGGAGGTGACAATGGCACTTATACGCAAACGCCTCCTGTTTCAGCACCTGGTTATATGAATCTACTTACTGGTACATGGGCTAACAAACACAATGTATACGATAATAATGTTCAATCTCCCAATTACCATTATAAAAATATTTTTCGATTGTTTAAAGAACATTACTCTGATAAAAAGATTGCCATTTTCTCAACTTGGACAGATAATCGTATCAAACTCGTTGGTGAAGGATCAGCCATAGCAGGTAATATTACATTTGATTACAAATTCGATGGATACGAATTTGACAATATTACTTATCCTCATGATCCAGATGACCATTTTATCTTTGACATTGATCAACGTGTGACTAATGAAACTTCCGCATGTATCAAAATATATGGACCTGATCTTTCATGGGTTTATTTACAATATACGGATGATGTAGGACATCAATTTGGAGACAGTGAACAATTTAACCAAGCAGTCAAGAATATTGATTATCAGATAGGACAAATTTGGGAAGCTATCGATTATCGAATGAAACATGATCAAGAAGATTGGTTAATTATTATTACGACAGATCATGGTAGAGATCCGATAACAGGCAAAGAACATGATGATCAGACTCACAGAGAACGAACAACTTGGATAATAACAAATAGTCAAGAAATGAATACTTATTTTCATGATTTTCAACCTGCTATAGTTGATATATATCCAACAATTGCAAAACTGATAGGTCTTAGCATTCCAATTGAATCCGAAAGAGAATTAGACGGAGTACCATTAACAGGAAAAGTATCATTAATAAAACCAGATGTTAAGTTGCATAATGTTAGTCTACAAATTGGTTGGACAGTTTTAGATCCTACTGGATACGTAAAAGTGTGGCTATCAACTACAAATTCATTTAAGGATGGTATCACAGACAATTATTATTTAATTGAAACAGTACCGATAGAAAAAAACATGATTACCGTTGATATAAAAGAATATCCATCAGACTTCTATAAAATAGTCCTCGAAGGACAATATAATAAGGTGAATAGATGGGTATTTCGATCATAAAAATACGTTATACTATATTATAATAATAATAAAATTACAATATTTGTGGTGGTAACTTTTAATCAGAGGAATCTAGTAAAAATGTCTGTAGATTAGTTAAATTTGATAAGAATTGATGCTTTTCAACTATCCTAGTGAAATATTTTGTTTATTGAACATCGTTACAATGTGTTTGATTATGATGTACTGGTTTGTTTGCTTATTTGTTTGAAAAAGCCAAGTTTCGAGAGCATATGCATAAAACAGAACCTTTTTTTTTATCGAGGTGACTTATGCTGTGCAAGAGCATTATTCTTATTGATCTTAAAAACTTCGCCACAATGCCCGAATACTAGAATGTGGAATGTGGATGTGGGTCTCGTTTTCATCTGTACAGATATACGCACATCAAAGCTGGTCAGATAAATTTGTGAATAGGTAGCATTAAGTAGAGTAGGAATATAGAACAGCTACTTCTTACATTTTGTCGAGTCTAAATAGCATACCGTGTGAATTCAGAAAAAAAAAGGAATACATCGAGGATTTTCACAGGAAAAATAAAAGATATCGTGAGGTACCCGTTAATAGCTGAAATTAGTCCCATGAAAAACTTATAGAAGAACAAAAATCAAGCAAACATCTTTTTTTTTTTGAGGTTCAAGTTAGTTCTGCTTCAAAACGCGATAATTTATGCCTCAGAAGGCACCAGTTGGTAATAACCACGACCATCGGAATGGCTTCCTTTAAATTTGGCAATCCCAACGATGATGATTAAAGCCAAGAAACTGATAACACAAATGATACCAATCATGACTGCAAGACCAAGACCTGTTCTATCTCTTCTAGGTTCTTGGGCTAGATCGAATACAAACAATACTCAAATTATCGAAAAATTTCACGTAACAATAGCCTACTTTCGGTATTGGCAATCGGCATAACAGAGTTTTCTTTGAATGCTGTTGCTGCAGTTGTTGAAGATAATAGATTCATTGAAGAGGTCACTTCGATGGAATCAGTAATGGTCGGAATACTAATAATTTTAGCTGTCGACTTATGGTATGCTGGTACTGGTGCTGCAATTGTCGAAAATGATGGGTTCACCGACGAGGTTTTATCATTATAATTAGTAGTGGTCGAGATTCTGATAATTTTGGTTGTTGAGTTATTATATTCTGATGATGTAGACAGCATTGTGGATGTGATGGGCACTATGGTTGCACTTTGAGCCGTCATAGATTTACATGTTGTGCTATTGACATTACAATTCGGGAATGTGTTGCAGATGCAGATCTCGTCCGCGGAAAAGGGAGTAATGCTTGTGAAGAGCACAAAAGTCTTCGCGAAACCTACGATAAAATCAAGACCATGAAGACGTGCTTCATGGTATCGTTTGATCACAACGCGTTCGTAATCATGGGCAATCAGTGCCTCTTGACTGGTCGCACCGCCTATTGAGCTAATACTGCAAAGCACACTATTGTTCCTAATGTAATTCATGCAACCTGAAGTGTTAATCATTGGATGTTCCACACATAGCTTCGACAACGGCGATAGATCTCCTATTCCTGAACAGGTTATAGGATCTGTCAGATCTCTCAGTACAGGTCTCAGCGGTGGAAATGAAGAAATCTTGTGGTTCGAACTTATACAAGTATTCAAATCAATATTGCACAAATTTTCCGCACAAATACAGATTGTCATATTCTGAAAAGTTTCATACGGCAATGGAGAACATGTGCCAATACCAATATCAGATGTTGATGAAAACCCGTGACAACGCTTGAGTAATTGTCGAAATGTATTAGTATACCACATACCATCACGTAGCGTGTAATCTGTGGGTAGACTTAAACCGTCACTGCCAGTATAGACGCGAAAAGCACATAGTTGATAATCATCATGTATTATGTCAGTGCTGCCCAAATAACATTTGATGCTATACGATACTGTAATATTTTGTGGAGGTATGAGAATAAACGATTGAACAGATGTTGGCAATATGATGAGAAAAAACGTAATCGTTTGAAGGTAATGGTTCATGTTGCACAAAACAGAAAACACACTTTTATGTTGTAATACACACATCCAATACCAATTCACAAACAAACCTTCTATGACTGCAAATGTTTCGAGAAGTATCTACCATGTGCAATCAACATGTTGAAACAGAACACTTAATGAGTTTGTTTTTTAAAGTAGAAAGCTGTGTATTATGCATTAAAAGCCATTATGTGTTTCTCTTCACAGCAACATATAAATGGAACAATGCGTAATACTATCAGAAAATTATTATTCGAACGACGAAGAGGAGAGTAAAATATGATTAATTATTCTGCAGAAAAAGACCTTTTTGTGTCGAAAAATAATTTTGATGTGAGTGAAAAGAAGACTGACATCTACATCAACTTGCTCATTTTTGAATAGGCTATTTTTGGTCATATTTCGTAGTCTTAAACTTCTTGTCGGCTTTTATTTATCAATCCAATGGCATATTTGAACAGACAGTCAAAAATTACTTTTTCTAATAATTCGTATTCATCTAGTTTCTGATAGACGTCTAAAATTTGCACCTAAAAAATGCTTTTTTCAGATCTTTTTGGAAACTATCTATGTGATCGGAGATTAAAATATCCGGTTTGAAGTTCAAAACCAAATATAAATAAAAATCATCTTGTGTTTTCGCATTAAATTTCTAAGATTTATGATTATGACGTTCGTGATCTTCATAGCTAACTTTATAGTTCTAGTTTCTTTTGAAATTTTTTTGCATATCCTAGCGGAATTGGAGATCAAAAAGGTACGGCGGTGAGTACGTGTCTATAGTCACGGTCACATCCTCGTTTCATTTATTCATTATTAATGGACTTTTCCTTCAGTTTAAGTTTTTATCAACCCCTTATCCATGCATGTTTTGGCAATGACGATAAGAAAAAACCTAATAAATAATCAATCATTGTTAGTTGATATTTCACAATAAATTATTTCTTGTGTATAACAGTGTCAAAATACATAACAAAGTAAAAGACTACAAAGTTCAACAATAATACTGTTTATTATATATAGAAAGGCAAATTCACGTAGTTTTAAATATTTTCATTTCTTCTATGATGAATAAATTTCAACATGCCATAAAATTTTGCTTGAAATATCTTAATGCATCTTGCCTTTTTTATTCATTTGATCTATCGAATCATCATTGTGACAAATTTATTTTAATTAGATGTATCTGATAAAGAAAGATATTTTCAAATAAGAACATTTCTCTCTTTTCCCTTATTTGATAAATTTCCTGATCTTTAATCAAGAACAGTGAACCAAATAAACTCAAGCAATGCGAAGAAATTCAAATTGAGATTACTATCAATACTATCTCAACTGTATCTTTTCCACTGAACTCATTAGATATCCGATTTCTTTAATAATCGCATACAACTAACATTCATGAATGTTCAAATCATTGGTATGTTCATTTACAACAAATGATAAATTTAAAAAGTTTAACCGTATGTGCATCTGATAATAGAAATATAATTGATCGTCATCGATGGTCAAAATGTGATAATATCTTTATTACTTTATACTTAAATAATTTCAACTTCAAATTTAATCGTTAAGACAGTATTAGTCAGCTTGTCTACATAGCATGTTACTTCAGACATCAAGTATTTATTTCAAAATTCGAGTCTAACTTTTATGCTACAATGTAGAGTACAGTTGAAAGCGTAAGAAATATATTTTATTACTCGAAATATTATTTCTGCGAATGTTTAAAAACATATAGATAAGGCACTAATTACTACATTGTCCGCAGCAATTTTTCTCTTTTACTTTACGAGAAACTGTGTGTCTTGATGTCGGCCTCGGAAACCTAGCCATCAAGTGCGACCTGTCTTTTGACAAATATGTGGGGTGTCGATGGGTGTGAATTAAGGAAAAAACGACTTAACAATCTTTGTAAAGCAAAAAAAAGGGAGACTGAATAAGACAAATAAGTACAAATATGAAAAAAATATACAAATAAATTTATAGATTAGTATATGAATCAGTGAACTAACTTTTTTTTGGCAGAATTTTGTAGATTTTATTTATATATTTTGGTATTTTAATCAGATTTTGAAATTATTTTTTGAGTTTCTTTTTAGCGCTTTATATACGTAACGCAATAGTATCTAATTTATATTGAGTTATGAGAAAATAAAAAACACACCTTTTATAAATTAGTTTTGTATCAAGAAAAATGAGCTTCAAAATTTAAGCGAAGAAAATTACTATAAAGTAAGCAATGATATTAGACGAGGAAAATTATCTTGTTAATGTAAGGTTTGTTTTTCTAAGAGAAAGCTGTGATTGTTTTGTTTACATATGTTAATTCAAATGAATAAATGTCATGTTTGTTTTTATATATTTATTTTAGAATACGATAAGTTTGACCTTGTTTTAGTATATAAAAAAAATGAGTTTATTGTTGTGTGTTTGTTTTAGAAACAATGAAAACTGAATGCGTTTTGGAGTGAGTTTTGGTAAGAAAAGAGGAAAGCTACGTACACATAAAAACAAGAGTCATATCTACACACACATCATTCTGCAACAACAGTCAGATCGATACAGAAAGTCATTCATATTCCCACTGACATCCATCTTAAATTCAATAGTTTCAATAATTCTAATAGGCACAATAATTTCATCTATTTCGATAATGTCAAAGTTTCCAATGACTTCAATTATGTCAACAACTCTTCAAAAATTAGGAAATTCCGCAACATAATCGTATCTTGTTTAATCAAAACTAAAGTCATACTTTCTGTCCGTTTGGAAAAGCCGGAATTCGAAAACCACGTGAAAACCTTCAAGAAAACTTCAATTTTACTCCTGAAATAACACTTTTTCGAAAAATGTTTTCATCTGATTGTGACCCAGAATATTCCTCAACTGAAACACGAAGCTTTCCACTGTATCGAACACTTCTAGTACAGAAAAACTACAACATTAAGTCGAAAGTTAGAATTGTCTTCAACGTTCAGCTACTGAACTAAACTCACAGGCCGTCTCGTAACGTTTCAAGAAGTTGAATTCAAATACATTTTATTAATTACTTGAGACTTACCGTCGAACTATATATTCAATAAAAAAATTAATTTTAATCGTCATATGCGCGAAGAAACAATCAAAGCAAAGTTACTCTTAAATTTTCGTCCTCTACTTTACAAGAGAAAGATATTTCTAGCAATTGCCCTAACTCGCAAGCAGCAGTATTAGTTATAGAACGTATTTTGACGTTTGTATCTTGAGTATAATCCCAGATCGTATCAGTAACTCGGACATTCGCATACAAACAGTTCTTTATTTGTTTCTCTTGTTCTCGGTATACAATCTACACAAATCATTGCGACGACGGTTGAGGGTGGTAGTGATTCATTCATATTTGACCAGCTTGTTGGTAATAATGAGCAACCAGACTTGGTCCAAGCTCCAACACGTTCAATATCTATGCAAAAATTCATTTACTTTTGTGCAACAGTTAAAGCAGCATCCGAACAACTTACATTTTTCAGCTACCATGTCTCTCACCCGTATCGATCGAAACATTCCTGTGTGCACATTGCGCTCGTATCTTAATGGTTCCGTGATTTCTACTGTGTTCCATGACGTGATATAAGCACCACTATTACATTTTTCTTTCGACTCGGCAAGTGGCAAACCTTCTGGACATCGCTGTTCATTCTGCAATATGAATTCTTTTATGATCTCCCAATATGGAGGAACCGGACCACGAGATCCGTGACCAATAACACCTTGTGCTGATCGTTGCACGAAAAGTTCAGCTAATTTCTGTTGTTCTACTTGATCGATTTCATCTGTTCGAACATCTGCTGCTGATTTGATTCGATATGTGATTGCAATTTGCAAGTTTGCTTTAATTGTTGAATTATTAATTAGATCAGGCCATGAAATGTATTTGTTAATTTTTAATAGAGCTGGCTTATCATCGAGTGATTGTTTCCATTGATCAGTATTATTGACGCTTGGGTCACCGCCAATACGATGATCCACTATTATTCTACGTCGATTTTCATAGTAATTATCATTCACAGAAGTTGGTGAAAGTATATCCGTTTTTAATCGAAGCTCCAATTCTGTCTCACTCAAGCCATCCGTAAAATAATTAGATTGCAAAATACAATCCTTGACAAGTATTTGCTTTTCATGCATACCACCAACTGTAGTCTCCAGAATAACGTGTGTACCCCAAACATCCAAAAAATCTTTATATGTCTTGGCGTCGTATATGAATGGTAATCGGTCAATAGCTTGCTGAGCATGTGTATTTAATTCCAGATGAGTGTTCGTGGGTTGTATCTCCAACGTATAAAGTGGATATAAATGTTGAATTATAGCTATCATTTGGTTCTCAATGAAAAACTTATTGTGAACGTACGACATATTTTTGATGTGACCCAATACTCCTCCTAGCCAACTACCTGAATCTTGTTCCCATAAATGTATAAATTCTTGTTCTTTTCTAAACAGATACACAATCGGTTCAAGACTTTCAACGTTGCTTGCTATTTCTGTCGAAATAATTTTATTTGATAACGTAGATTTTTCGTTGTATGAGGTTGATAAAGCTGACAACTTGATTTCACCTGTACTTAAATCAATAGTCATACCAACACCTGTTGATATCAAAGACTTTGTAGTTTCTTTCCATGAAGGATGCTGCATATTTGAACCTGGACAAAATAAACCATCATAGCTGATAACAGGGCACAGTTCTGTACGAATTAAGTCTAATGAAGTCTGTCCAGTATGCGCCCAAACTAATAGAATTACAAACAAGCTCAATAGGAACTTCATCTTAGGCAACAATCGTGAGATAACTAATCAAAAGTTAGTAGTATACATATCAGTCGAACCAAACAGTTGTCAATTCAAGTGCCACTAGTGAGTAATCAAATCAATATGGGCTTATATTTATAGCAGTGCATTTTGTGCAAATATTTATCATATCAGCTTGTGGGAATATTTTGTGACAATATTTATTTAAATATTTTTCATTTTCCTACGACTACTATTGACAATGAATATTGAATGCTGAGTTGATAAAATTTCCCCTTTTAACGCACTCTTGCTTATCTCGCCAATACAAGTCATAAAAACATGCGTATTACTGTTATGTGCATTTTTATCTGATAATTGATTGTAATCAATATACTTCAGCTTATCTGTTTCATAGAAATGACGACGGCAAAATATCGACTCATTCTTTTACTAAGTGAAGACCGATACAAATGACTTAATTCTTAATTGTTTTTTCAATCAGTATAGCAAAGGTTACTTATGCTCAATGAAACCAGAGTGGACTCTTTTCTCTGATTGAAATCAACTAGAACAAAGTACATAGTGGTTATTAACAGCCAAGTATTAAAAATTGTCTTATTCACTGACCACACTTTCTGAAAAGAGGCTTCGCTCTGTATTAGAACAACGAATGGATTTGAATAGACAAAACTGTCTACTTCGATATTTTTTTCTTTCCAAAGGCATCAAAAACAGCGTTGTAACTAGGTGCTGATGGATTAAGAGAATATCTACATTCGTAGTAAATCATGCGCATGGACGCTAACCACTGCGCTTTAGTATAAAAAAACCTATAAACCTACCATTTGATTATTTCTCTCTGGATTCATGTCGATAGTCTTTGAAAAAAGGTGCCAATCACTATTATATACAATCTATTAACTTAGTTTGTTTTAGTGACGTTAAAAACAGCAATAAATTTTTCACAAAAGCCCTAATATGAACTGTACAACGTGGTTTTAAATCCATATAATTCTATTTTTGCTTAAGCACAATTAAGTATTTTCTTTGATAGTGTGTTTTATAAGGAAAATAGAAAAGTAGGATAATCTGTTGAGATTTCCTAAATAAGTCTATTTATTTAGGTTACAATACAAACACTTGCTCAGTTATCTTACTGTGACGTTTCTACTTTATGGTTATCTTGAACTCAATACTTTCTCTCGAATTAGCACTCGGAAAAAATTTTTCTATAATTTTCATCCTTGACAGAAAAGCAAACTATTTTTGACAAGTTAAATATGGTTATCGCTATCTATGACAATTAATAAATATTAACTTCATACTGACATATATATCACGTACATATTTTTACTAATAAAGATAGTACAACTAAAATGATGTTGAAGCCTTTCAATATTATGATGAACTAGATAACTCATTTGGTTGTTACCCAACAAAAAAAAACTTATCTTCAAGAGACCACTAGTACCGAATCATTGAAAATGATTTCCTTAAATCATGATATGGAAATATCATCGAAGAGTTCGTTTTATCATATTCAATTGAAGGATATTTTCAAGATAATTGGTGTACTGCTCGTTCCATTAACACTTGGTATGGCAGCAACAATTCTGTCCATACAACAAACAAAACTCAATCAAAACAATCGTGAAAACGATAGCTATAATTATTGCACAAAAGCAGCGTCAACAAGATGTTGATCTAGCTGCTCAAGCAGAACAAGAGCGAGTTTTGGCTACTTATTTACAGGATCTTGCTGCCTTACTATTGAATAAAAATACAACATTCGACAAAAATAGTGCTGCTTCCAGCGTTGTTCGAGCTAAAACATTGACCACATTAATAAAAATGGATGCACAACGAAAACGTCAAGTAATATTATTTCTATATGAAGCCAAATTAATTAAGCGCAACAGTAAATATGCATCAATTAATTTATTCGATGCTGATCTCGACAATTTAGATATGAGTTTATCTGAATCAAAAAGTAAATACTATAAAACATATGACATCATGGATATACAACTTCGTGGAGCTTCTCTAGTCAATAGTTCATTTAAATGGTGTCATCTTGATTTCTCAGATTTCAGTCAAGCAGATTTAAAAGATGCCAATTTCCAATATGCAAAATTGTCCAATGCCGATTTTAGCTATGCACATTTGTCTAACACCGATTTTACAATGGCAAATGTGAGTAAAGCTATATTTGCATATGCCAATCTAAGTAACTCAAGTCTATCAGATGAACAGTTATCAACAGCACTAACACTGCAAGGTGCTATTTTACCGAATTATACAACTGCTCCAATGAAAAATTTGATCATAAATGGTGATGCAGAACAAAAATGTTCCAATAATTATGCTGTTTTTCCATCAGATTGGGTTTTAATCAACGGTAGCATTTCAGCAGTTTGGCATCCTCAAAACAAAATGGAACTAAATAACAAATGCTTCTTTTCGTCATTGTCCCATCACGATATTTCTGTTATGCACCAAATTGTTGATTTAAGAGATTATGTTGATTGGTTTTTCAATGGACGAACACTATATGGGTTTCAGATTACACTATCTGGAACGCGAAATGGAAAACATTATATAATAATCAAGTTGCAGCAAAGGTCTGCTGATGAAAAAATATTAGAGAAAATTACAATTTGTCGTAAGTATAAGACCAAAGTAGAACTATTCAAACTTTTCGTTACGACACTCTACACTTTCAAGATGAATGTAACGTAGAGTGCGTGTGAGTTTAGATGTTGATGTGAAATGTAAATGTTAGTGTTGATGCCGATGTGGATGAAAAGAAGACCCTCAAACACATTCACTTCCATACCTACTTCATAGTCACACGCAAATCTTAGAGAATTCAAATAACGATACATAAATAGAAGTACTTTTACAAAGCTACAATGTAAAAAGTTTGATAAATCTGAGAGCGAGCTAATTTGTAAGTGCAGATCGAGAGAACGCATGTTACTTTACTAAAATATTATCTTTAGATGTTAAACTGAACATGAAATTGGAATAGTGAAAACTGCAGACATCTCTCTTGTCTCTAAATAAGTTTACTTGAAAAAAAAATGACCAAAGAATGGGTCCTCATTAACATGACTCACTGGATACTCTTACACATAGACCTAGGACAGTTCCCAGTTCTATGAACTGTATATTTTCGAAGA